ACCGAGTCAAACATTACCGTTTAATTCCAATATTACTCGAGATATAAGCAACTTCCGGTTTGAAATGTCAATGTCATTTTGATATATTCTTAATTTTTATAAAATGTTTTAAAATTTGTCACAAAAATATAATTAAAAAAATCAGAAATTAAGGTTGGTATTAATATTTAAAAATTAAATTGTTGCTAACTTCGGGTTTAATGTTTTTTATTCCAACTTTTTTGTTTTTTGAGATAAATGCGTCATGTTTGGACTCATTTTAAAGGTTTTTTAATAAAGATTACGAATATAATAATAAAATTAAAGTTCACATTAACACCCGAAACTTTCTAGTTCTCGGTTTCTGGTTTTACACTTAACCGTCTTGAGACACATGTAGTCATTTACAAACATAACCTCTAACATACTTATATCTCTAAATCAACTTAAGAGTTAATATTGTTGCCTATATCTTATTTAATTAATTAATTTTCTTGTAATAAATTAAATTAATCAGTCTTCAAACGTCAATTAAATGTCAACAAACGACATAACCACACTTTTTTTAAATCGAATTATAATTAATTAATTAATTAACTTAAACGTTTCAAATCAATAATTTTTTCGTCTTTTTAAATCATTTAGATTAATTTAATTAAAATAAGAAATTAATTTATAGCAAATTGTGTTAATTAAAAAATTAATACCAACCCAAAAAATTCCCCCAACCAAACCCCCAATGATAATAAAAATCAAAATTTTTCGTAATAATCGTTTCAAAAATCGCTTAATTCATTAATTTCGGTTTATTATTATTAAAAATGAGTTAAAAACGAAAAGAAATCGCTTTATTTACACAATTTAATTGTGTACGTGATGAAATACGTGCGAATAATGGCGGATCCGATTTTTGTAAGATCTTTCTTTTGGGGTTAATTTAAATGAATGAACTCACCAATTGTCTGAAGGCGTGCCGCCGGTGATCGTGGGGTTCCTCTTCGGCCATTTCTTTCACCTCGCCCGGCACCACCAGGTCCCCACCGAGGACGACAACAACAATCACACCGCGTTTTTAATAATCTTCTTTTGACAGATCACAATTTTTTTATCGTTCTCGTCGAGGAGATCAGCGCGGATCTAAAATTAACGAGAATCAACTTCAATTTTGATTCAATCCGACGAGATCGACCAAGATTGACCGAGATGTGTAGAGGAAAAGTAGAAAAAATGGTTAAATGAGGGTTAACGACGTGATGTTGATTGATTTTGTTAGATGGCGCTGTTACGGTTGGTAAAAAAGATTTTTTTTTAATTTATTTTTATTTTTGCTTTATTTTAATTATAAATAATTTTTCGTTTTAAATAAATAAACTACATAAAAATAAATAAATTAAGATTTAAAACGCCATCTTTTATGATTCGATTGTAATTAATTTATTCAAACAATAAACTAATTAATTAATGAATAAACATTACCAAGAAATGAATGAATCATGAAATTTTCTACTTTCTCAATCGTTTTTAACGAGGAAGACCTTTGAACGACTCAATAACAAGATAAAGGAATGATTTAGATCCGACCAAATCGTTTTAGAAACTTAATCACTTTAAAGCCGCTACGAATCTTAATTTGGTCGATTGTGCAAAAGAAATAAGGATAATAGCGTCTCTTCGTTTCTTGGTAGTTTATAAATGGTCAAAACAAGCTAAAGAAGGTCAGTTTGATTAAAACCTTGCAAGCAAAGACACCAAAAATGTTTTTTAAATTAAACGTATTTCTTGTGTTATTTATCGTATACACGGAGCAACATTCTTATAATTTGGGCGAATGCCCCTTGGTTGCACCGCAAAGCGATTTTAGAATGGAAAATGTAAGTAAAAAAAATACCTGGCTTTGTTTAATCCATTTGTCAATTTGAGTAAGTTGGGTTGCCTATTTTGAACCTAAAAATAAGAATTTAGATGTTGGGAATTGTTTGTAATAAAAAAAACGAGTACATTAATTATTAAGATTACAAATATGTCAAAATTGAGGTTGACATTTTAAACCTGAAGTTAGTTATCATTTATCATATAATAGAGAAATGGACAACTTCATGGTGTTCTTTTATGATGCATTCTTTATTAAAAAAAAAACCATTAAAATAAGTCCAAACATGATGTTGCTAGATATCACTATGTTGTATATTTTTATTGCACTAAAACTAGAACTAGCACTAGACCTAGAACTAGAAAAATTCTAAATTTTAATTTTGTAATTATATTCGTAATCTTTATAAAATAACCTTTAAAATGAGTCCAAACATGACCCATTTATCTCAAAAAACAAAAAAGTTAGAATAAAAAACATTAAACCGGAAGTTAGCAACAATTTAATTTTTAAATATTAATACCAACCGTAATTTTTAATTTTTTTTATTATATTTTTGTTTTTATGACAAATATTAAGACATTTTATAAAAATTAAGAATATGTCAAAATGACATTGACATTTCAAACCGGAAGTTGCTTATATCTCGAGTAATATTGGAATTAAACGTATCATGTTTGGACTCATTTTAAAGGATTTTTCACGACGATTACAAATATGTCAAAATTGACGTTGACATTCTTAACCGGAAGTTGACCATAACTTCATTAATATTGAAGATAAATATGTCGTGTTTGTACTCATTTTAAAGGATTTTTAATGAAGATTACAAATATGTCAAAATTGAGGTTGACATTTTAAACCTGAAGTTAGTTATCATATAATAGAAGTTTTATAATTGACGTTAATCTAGTGTTTAGTCGTGAAAAAAACTTTCAGTTGTCAATGTCAACTTTAATTTTATTATTTTATTCGTAATCTTCATAAAATAACCTTTAAAGTGAGTCCAAACTTGACGCATTTATCTCAAAAAACCAAAAAGTTCGAACTTTCAACTTTTAATTTTGACATATTTGTCAACTTCATAAAAAATCCTTTAAAATGAGTCCAAACTCGACATATTTAACTTTAATATTAATGGAAATACAATCACTTCCGGTTTGAAACGTCAACGTCAATTTTGACATATTTGTCATCTTCATTAAAAAACCTTTAAAATGAGTCCAAACATGACGCACTTATCTCAAAAAACAAAAAAGTTAGAATAAAAAACATTAAACCCGAAGTTAGCAACAATGAAGATAGCAATTTAATTTTTAAATATTAATACCAACCTTAAATTTTTTTTTTTTTTTATTATATTTTTGTTTTTGTGACAAATATTAAGACATTTTATAAAAATTAAGAATATGTCAAAATGACATTGACATTTCAAACCGGAAGTTGCTTATATCTCGAGTAATATTGGAATTAAACGTATCATGTTTGGGCTCATTTAAAAGGATTTTTCACGACGATTACAAATATGTCAAAATTGAGGTTGACATTTCTAACCGGAAGTTGCCCATAACTTCATTAATATTGAAAATGTTAATGTCAACTTTAATTTTATTATTATATTTGTAATCTTTATAAAATAACCTTTAAAATGAGTCCAAACATGACCCATTTATCTCAAAAAACAAAAAAGTTAGAATAAAAAAACATTAAACCCGAAGTTAGCAACAATTTAATTTTTAAATATTAATACCAACCTTCCATTCAATAAAAATATGCAAAATAGGGATATCTTATAACAAATACCAAAAAACTTTATTTTTAGATCTAAAAGCTTAAAAAAACTTCTAAAAAACTTATTTCGTTAAGATCGAATCATTTTTTCTTTATAATCCGCCATTTTGTTTTTGTTATTATCGAATTTGATTAATCCAACACCGTATTCGTGATCTACATTAAATTCTCTTTAAAACGAGCCCAAACTCGATGGGGTTATCTTAAAAGATAACAAACTTCCGGTTATCACTTTTTTGAGGTTATGTCAAAATTAAACGTGGGATATCGCGGGTGTTTCTTGAGACAATCGAGTCGAGTTTGGACTCAATTTTGAAGCATTTTTAATTCCCCACACGATCGTGAATAAATAAAAAACCTAACCTGTAATATGTCAAAATTGAGATTGATATTTTAAACCTGAAGTTAGTTATCATATAACAGACAAGTGGATAACTTCATGGTGTTCTTTCATGATGTATTCTTTATTAAAAAAACCTTTAAAATGAGTCCAAACACGACACACTTATCTCAAAAAACAAAAAAGTTAGAATAAAAAACATTAAACCTGAAGTTAGCAACAATTTAATTTTTAAATATTAATACCAACCTTAATTTTTAATTTTTTTTATTATAGTTTTGTTTTTATGATAAATATTAAGACATTTTATAAAAATTAAGAATATGTCAAAATGACATTGACATTTCAAGCCGGAAGTTGCTTATATCTCGAGTAATATTGGAATTAAACGTATCATGTTTGGGCTCATTTAAAAGGATTTTTCACGACGATTACAAATATGTCAAAATTGAGGTTGACATTTCTAACCGGAAGTTGCCCATAACTTCATTAATATTGAAAATGTTAATGTCAACTTTAATTTTATTATTATATTCGTAATCTTTATTAAAAAACCTTTAAAATGAGTCCAAACATGACGTATTTATCTCAAAAAACAAAAAAGTTAGAATAAAAAACATTAAACCCGAAGTTAGCAACAATGAAGATAGCAATTTAATTTTTAAATATTAATACCAACCTTAATTTTTGATTTTTTTTTATTATATTTTTGTTTTTGTGACAAATATTAAGACATTTTATAAAAATTAAGAATATGTCAAAATGACATTGACATTTCAAACCGGAAGTTGCTTATATCTCGAGTAATATTGGAATTAAACGTATCATGTTTGGACTCATTTTAAAGGATTTTTCACGACGATTACAAATATGTCAAAATTGACGTTGACATTCTTAACCGGAAGTTGACCATAACTTCATTAATATTGAAGATAAATATGTCGTGTTTGTACTCATTTTAAAGGATTTTTAATGAAGATTACAAATATGTCAAAATTGAGGTTGACATTTTAAACCTGAAGTTAGTTATCATATAATAGACAAATGGACAACTTCATGGTGTTCTTTCATGATGTATTCTTTATTAAAAAAACCTTTAAAATGTGTCCAAACATGATGCATTTATCTCAAAAAACCAAAAAGTTCGAACTTTCAACTTTTAATTTTGACATATTTGTCAACTTCATAAAAAATCCTTTAAAATGAGTCCAAACTCGACATATTTAACTTTAATATTAATGGAAATACAATCACTTCCGGTTTGAAACGTCAACGTCAATTTTGACATATTTGTCATCTTCATTAAAAAACCTTTAAAATGAGTCCAAACATGACGCACTTATCTCAAAAAACAAAAAAGTTAGAATAAAAAACATTAAACCCGAAGTTAGCAACAATGAAGATAGCAATTTAATTTTTAAATATTAATACCAACCTTAATTTTTTAATTTTTTTTATTATATTTTTGTTTTTGTGACAAATATTAAGACATTTTATAAAAATTAAGAATATGTCAAAATGACATTGACATTTCAAACCGGAAGTTGCTTATATCTCGAGTAATATTGGAATTAAACGTATCATGTTTGGACTCATTTTAAAGGATTTTTCACGACGATTACAAATATGTCAAAATTGACGTTGACATTCTTAACCGGAAGTTGACCATAACTTCATTAATATTGAAGATAAATATGTCGTGTTTGTACTCATTTTAAAGGATTTTTAATGAAGATTACAAATATGTCAAAATTGAGGTTGTCTTTTCAAACCTGAAGTTAGTTATTCATATAATAGACAAATGGACAACTTCGTGGTGTTCTTTCATGATGTATTCTATATTAAAAAAACCTTTAAAATGTGTCCAAACATGACGCATTTATCTCAAAAAACCAAAAAGTTCGAACTTTCAACTTTTAATTTTGACATATTTGTCAACTTCATAAAAAATCCTTTAAAATGAGTCCAAACTCGACATATTTAACTTTAATATTAATGGAAATACAATCACTTCCGGTTTGAAACGTCAACGTCAATTTTGACATATTTGTCATCTTCATTAAAAAACCTTTAAAATGAGTCCAAACATGACGCACTTATCTCAAAAAACAAAAAAGTTAGAATAAAAAACATTAAACCCGAAGTTAGCAACAATGAAGATAGCAATTTAATTTTTAAATATTAATACCAACCTTAATTTTTAATTTTTTTTATTATTTTTTTGTTTTTATGACAAATATTAAGGCATTTTATAAAAATTAAGAATATGTCAAAATGACATTGACATTTCAAACCGGAAGTTGCTTATATCTCGAGTAATATTGGAATTAAACGTATCATGTTTGGGCTCATTTTAAAGGATTTTTAATGAAGATTACAAATATGCCAAAATTGAGGTTGATGACAAAATTTATTCGAAAATTAAATGAAAATCTTTTTGGAAAATAACCTATAACATTAGTTTCGAAACAAAAAATTAAATATTTTATTATTTCTCATAAAGAGTATTTACTTTTTCCTATATTATTTTAATTATTTGAGAAAATAAGTTATTTATCGCACCACAAAGCGATTTTTGAATGGAAAATATAAAATAAAAAATACCTGTCATTTTTTGATCCATTTGTCAATTCGAGTATGTTGGGTTGCCTATTTTGACGTGTGGTATAACCTAAAAATACCTGCCATTTTTTTTTAAATCCATTACTTAATTTGTGTATATTGTGTTGCCTATTTTGATGTTTAATATAACCTAAAAAATTTAAAATTTAGATGTTGGGGGAATGGTTTGTAATAAAAAAGACGAGTACATCGAGTTCTTGCATCATTTACAACTTTACGTCCACCTCGGAGCCGAATCATTATCAATTGGAGCAAATTAGCAACACTTTTATCCCACTAAAACACAACTACCATTACACCGGGGAGTTAATCGTTCAGGATCCAACAGTTCCAGCAAAAATGAAAGTTAAATTTCCTTTGAGTGAGTTAACTACAAAAAAAAAAAATAATAACAAAGATAATTTTAACCATTTTAGATTTAGGTTCGGCTTCTTACACCGTTTTTATGACAGATTATCAAAATTACGCGGCTATTTTTACGTGCCAAAAATTACCGTTAAGTAATCGCCAATCTGTTTCTATTTTATCCAGGAAAAAGGTTTTGGATAAACTTTATTTGGATAAGGTAAATTTTTTAATTATTTAATTATAAAATGATTAAACAATGATTTTAGATTCAACAAAGAATGAGTAGTTTCGGGGTAAACCCCTATGATTTATCAATAATTAATCAAAACGATTGCAAAAAGAACATTGATGGTTATAACTGGAATGTAGATGATGACACCTTCTCTGTAAAATCGGTAGCTGGCGTTATAAGAAAAGCTGGTGAAAAAATAGGAGATGGTTTCGAATATGTAGCTGAAGGAGCAAAAAAATTAATTAATAAAGGTGGTGATGAGACAAAACAAGTTGAGAGAAGAGTAGGGCAAGTTGCAATAGACCCTGATGCTGAATGGATACCTTAAATTAAAAAAAAAAACTTGATTAATACACAATTAAGACTAACATTAATAAAATGAGATTTAAACCACTCAAAATTTTTAATTTTAAAGTTAAGAAGTCACAAAAATTTAATAAAAACAATTTCACAGATTCAAAGAAAAAAAATCACCAAAAAACCATATTCAGGTCCAAAACGAGCTTCTTTTAAGCTAATCATTAAAAAAAAAATATATAGAGAAATTCCCCTCCCTCTCGCCAGATTAAGTTGAGTAAGAAATTATTGAGCAACCAATCCCACACCTAAAAGCATGAAGGCCGACATCAAAATGTTGGTGATTAATTTGGCCGCTCCTGCGGTTGTTCCGTCTTCCGTGGTGTCGTCACGGAAGCTGGGCGCGACGTCAGATCGTTTGAAATTCGGAACTGAGTTGCATTCCGTTGGAACGTTCGCCCCCAAAGCCCTACAAATCGTCAACATCCAAGCTTTCACGGCAGCCTGATCTTGAGTTTTACTCTGTTTCTCGTCAATCACAACAAATGGTTTATAATCGACGGCAAAACGTTTTAGATTTTTCATCATTTCACCAATTGATGCTAGAAAAATAAATAAATTATGTTAATTTCGTTTTAAAACATTTTTTATAACAAATATATCACAAGATATAATCATGGAAAGATTTAAGTTGTTTGCCAAAGACTAGATGCTTTTTAGAAAATAAAACTATTTCCAGAAAACCAAATGTTGCTTCTAGAAGACTAAATTTGACTTCTAGCAGATTAACACTGATGCCAGAAGTCTAAATACTGATGCCAGAAGACTGAATATTGTGTTCATTGCTAGCAAAAGATTGATTACTGCTGCTTGAAGACTAGATACTGTTTCCAGAAAACTAGATATTGCTCCAAACTGTTAAATACTGCTTTCAGAAGATTAAATATTGGTCCAAAGGACTAAATAATGTTTTCAGAAGAGAAATATTGCTAGCAAAAAACTAGTTACTGCATTCAGAAGATTAGATATTGCTCCAGAAGACTAAATATTGTTGTCAGAAGACAAACATTGCTACCAAAAAATTGATTACTGTTTCCAGAAAACTAGATATTGTTCCAGACTGTTAAATACTGCTTGCAGAAGACTAAATATTGCTTCAAAGGACTAAATATTGTTTTCAGAAGAGAAATATTGCTACCAAAAAGCTGGTGACTGCATTCAGAAGATTAGATATTGCTCCAGAAGACTAAATATTGTTGTCAGAAGACAAACATTGCTACCAAAAAATTGATTACTGTTTCCAGAAAACTAGATATTGTTCCAGACTGTTAAATACTGCTTGCAGAAGACTAAATATTGCTTCAAAGGACTAAATATTGTTTTCAGAAGAGAAATATTGCTACCAAAAAGCTGGTGACTGCATTCAGAAGATTAGATATTGCTCCAGAAGACTAAATATTGTTGTCAGAAGACAAACATTGCTACCAAAAGACTGGATACTGATTGTAAGAGACTAAATATTACTTTTAGAAGACAAACATGGCTATTAAAAGACTGATTACAGCCTCAGAAGACTAAATACTGCTTCCAGAAGACTAAATATTGCTTCTAGTAGCCTAACGCTCATACCAAAAGACTAGATACTGCTCTAGACTACTAAATACTGCTTCTAGAAGAGTAAATATTGCGTTCAGAAGACAAATATTGCTACCAAACAACTAGATAGTGTTGCCAAAAGACTAGATACTGCTCCAGACTATTAAATGCTGGTTCCAGAAGACTAAATATTCTTTTCAGAAGACAAATATTGCTATTAAATGACTTGTTACTGTTCCCAGAAATTAGATACGGTGTCGAGAAGACTAAATATTGCTTCCAGCAGACTAACATTGCTACCAAAAAACTAGATACTGCGTTCAGAAGACCAGATATTGTTTCTAGGAGACAAACATTGCTACCAAAAGACTGAACACTGCTCCAAAAGACTAAATATTGCTTCTAGAAGGGAAAGTATTGTTTTCAGAAGACTAAATGCTGCTTCCGGAAAACCAAATATTGCTCCCAGCAGACTAATACTGCTATCAAAAGACTAGATACTGCCCTGAAAAACTAAATACTGCATCCAGAAGACTATATATTGCTTCTAGAAGCTAAAATATTGCATGCAAAAGACTAAATACTGGTTTCAGAAGATTAAATATTACTTCCAGTAATCTAACACTGTTCCAAGAGACTAGGTTACAGCAACCAGAAGACCAAATATTGCTTCCAGCAGACTAATACTGATAATAAAAGATTAGATACTGTTCTGAAAGACCAAATACTACAACCAGAAGACTAAATATTGCTTCTAGAAGCCAAAGTATTGCTTTCAAAAGACTAAATAAGATTGCTTTCACACTGCCTTCACAAGATTAAATACTGCTTCGAGCAGTATAACACTATTCCAGGAGACTAAGACTAACACTGCTACAAAAGATTAGATACGACGTCCAGAAAACCTGATATTGCTCTTAGGAGACAAACATTGCTACCAAAACACTGGAAACTGCTCCAAAAAACTAAATATTGCTTCTAAAAGCCAATATATTACATTTAGAAGACTAAATGCTGCTTCCAGAAGATTAAATATTGCTTCCAGCAGTCTAACACTGTTCCAGGAGATTAGATGCGGCATCCAGAAGACTAAATATTGTTTCCAGCAGACTAATATTGGTACTAAAAGACTAGATACTGCTCTGAAAGACTAATTACTGCATCCAGAAGACTAAATATTGCATCTAGAAGCGAAAGTATTGCTTGCAGAAAACTAATATTGCTACCAAAAGATTAAATACTGCTCTGAAAGACTAAATACTGCTTCCAGAAGACTAAATATTGCATCTAAAAGCTAAAGTATTGCTTGCAGAAGACTAAATACTGCTTTCAGAAGATTAAATATTACTTCTAGTAATCTAACACTGTTCCAGGAGACTAGATACGGCGTCCAGAAGACTAAATATTGCTTCCAGCAGACTAATACTGCTACCAAAAGACTAAATACTGCTCTGAAAGACTAAATACTGTATTCAGAAGACTAAATATTGCATCTAGAAGCTAAAGTATTGCTTGCAGAAGATAAATATTGCTTCCAGTAGTCTGACACTGTTCCAGGAGACTAGATACGGCGTCCAGAAGACTAAATATTGCTTCTAGCAGACTAATACTGCTACCACAAGACCAAATACTGCTCTGAAAGACTAAATACTGTATCCAGAAGACTAAATATTGCATCTAGAAGCTAAAGTATTGCTTGCAGAAGATTAAATATTGCTTCCAGCAGACTAACATTGCTACAAAAGACTAGATACGGCGTCCAAAAAACCAGATATTGTTCCTAGGATACAAATATTGCTACCAAGAGACTGGATACTGCTCCAGAAAACTTAATATTGCTTCTAGAAACCAAAGTATTACTTCAGAAGACTAAATGCTGCTTTTAGAAGACTAAATATTGCTTCTAGCAGACTAATACTGCTACCAAAAGACCAAATACTGCTCCCAGAAGACTAAATATTGTTTCTAGCAGACTAATGTTGCTACCAAAAGATCAAATACTGCTTCCAGAAGACAAAAAATTGCTTTCAGAAGATTAATACTGCTACTAAAAAATTAAATGCTGCTCTAGAAGGCTAAATACTGCTTCCAGAAGAGTAACATTGCGACTAAAAGAGTAGATACTACTTCAAGAAGACTAAATACTGCTAGTAGAAAGCAGATAGTGACGGTAAAAAACAAGATACTACTAATAATGACCAAAATGAACTTCCTCCTTATAGAAAATCAGACATTGTTAACTAAATACTGCTTCCAGAAGATAAATACTACGTCTACTAGACTAAATATTGCTTTCAGAAGACTAATACTGCTACTAAAAGATTAGATGCTGCTCTAAAAGGTACTGTTTCCAGAAGACTAACATTGCGACCAAAAGAGTAGATACTGCTTCCAGAAGATTAGATATTGCTCCAGAAGACTAAATATTGTTGTCAGAAGACAAACATTGCTACCAAAAGACTGAATACTGATTGTAAGAGACTAAATATTACTTTTAGAAGACAAACATGGCTATTAAAAGACTGATTACAGCCTCAGAAGACTAAATATTGCTTCTAGTAGCCTAACGCTCATACCAAAAGACTAGATACTGCTCTAGACTACTAAATACTACTTCTAGAAGAGTAAATATTGCGTTCAGAAGACAAATATTGCTACCAAACAACTAGATAGTGTTTCCAGAAGACTAGATATAGCTCCAGACTATTAAATACTGGTTCCAGAACACTAAATATTCTTTTCAGAAGAGAAATATTGCTACCAAAAAGCTGGTGACTGCATCCAGAAGATTAGATATTGCTCCAGAAGACTAAATATTGCTTCCAGCAGAATAACACTGCTACCAAAAAACTAAATACGGCATTCAAAAGACTAGATATTGCTTCTAAGAGACGAACATTGTTACCAAAAGGCTGGATACTACTCCGGAAGACTAAATATTGTTTCTAGAAGCCAAAGTATAGCTTTCAGAAAACTAAATGCTGCTTCCAGAAGATTAAATATTTTTTCCAACAGTCTGACATTGTTCCAGGAGACTAAATACGGCTCTGAAAGACTAAATATTGCACCTAGAAGACCAAATATTGCATCTAGAAGCTAAAGTATTGCTTGCAGAAGATTAAATACTGCTTTCAGAAGAATAAATATGGCTTCTAGTAATCTAACGCTGTTCCAGGAGATTAGATACGGAGTCCAGAAGACTAAATATTGTTTCCAGCAGACTAATACTGCTACCAAAAGACTAGATACTGCTCTGAAAGACTAAATACTGCTTCTAGAAGACTAAATATTGCATCTAGAAACTAAAGTATTGCTTGCAGAAGACTAAATACTGCTTTTAGAAGATTAAATATTGCTTCTAATAATCTAACACCGTTGCAGGAGATTAGATACGGCGCCCAGAAGACTAAATATTGCATCCAACAGACTAATACTGCTACCAAAAGACTAAATACTACTCTGAAAGATTAAATACTGCATCCAGAAGACTAAATATTGCATCTAGAAGCTAAAGTATTGCTTGCAGAAGATTAAATATTGCTTCCAGCAGACTGACACTGTTCCAGGAGACTAGATACAGCGGCCAGAAGACTAAATATTACTTCCAGCAGACTAACATTGCTACAAAAGACTAAATACGGCGTCCAGAAAACCAGATATTGTTCTTAGGATACAAACATTGCTATCAAGAGACTGGATACTGCTCCAAAAAACTAAATATTGCTTCTAGAAACCAAAGTATTACTTTCAGAAGACTAAATGCTGCTTCCAGAAGATTAAATATTGTTTCCAACAATCTGACATTGTTCCAAGAGACTAGATACGGCTCTGAAAGACTAAATATTGCAACTAGAAGACTAAATACTGCTTTCAGAAGATTATATATTACTTCTAGTAATCTAACACTGTTCCAGAAGACTAAATATTACTTCCAGCAGACTAATACTGCTACTAAAAGACTAAATACTGTTCTGAAAGACTAAATACTGCATCCAGAAGACTAAATATTGCATCTAGAAGCTAAAATATTGTTTGCAGAAGATTAAATATTGCTTCCAGAAATCTAATACTGCTACCAAAAGACCAAATACTGCTTCCAGAAGACTAAATATTGCTTCTAGCAGACTAATGTTGTTACCAAAAGACCAAATACTGCTTGCAGAAGACCAAATATTGCATTCAGAAGATTAATTCTGCTACCAAAAGATTAGATGCTGCTCTAGAAGGCTAAATACTGCTTCCAGAAGACCAAATACTACAGCCAGAAGACAAGAATAGAAAGCAGATAGTGATGGTAAAAAACAAGATACTACTAATAATGACCAAAATGAACTTCCTCCTTATAGAAAATCAGACATTGTTAACTAAATACTGCTTCCAGAAGATAAGTACTACGTCTACTAGACTAAATATTGCTTTCAGAAGACTAATACTGCTACTAAAAGATTAGATGCTGCTCTAAAAGGTCAAATACTGTTTCCAGAAGACTAACATTGCGACCAAAAGAGTAGATACTGCTTCCAGAAGACTAAATATTGCTTCCAGAAGACCAAATACTGCAGCCAAAAGACCAGATACTGCTAGTAGAAAGCAGATAGTGATGGTAAAAAACAAGATACTATTAATTATGACCAAAATGGACTTCCTCTTTATAGAAAATAAGACGTTAACTAAATACTGCTTCTAGAAGACCAAGCATTGCTTCCAGAAGATAAATACTGCGTCTACTAGGCTAAATATTGCTTGCAGAAGAGTAATACTACTACCAAAAGATTAGGTGCTGCTCTAAAAGGCTAAATACTGTTTCCAGAAGACTAACATTGTGACCAAAAGAGTGGATACTGCTTCCAGAAGACTAAATATTGCTTTCTGAAGACCAAATACTGCAGCCAAAAGACCAGATACTGCTAGTAGAAAGCAGAGAGTGATGGTAAAAAACAAGATACTATTAATAATGTCCAAAATGAACTTCCTCTTTACAGAAAATCAGACATTGTTAACTAAATACTGCTTCCACAAGAGCAAGCAATGCTTCCAGAAGGTAAATACTGCGTGTACTGGACTAAATATTGCTTTCAGAAGACTAATACTGCTATCAAAAGATTAGATGCTGCTCTAAAATGCTAAATACTGTTTCCAGAAGACTATCATTGCGACCAAAAGAGTAGATATTGCTTTCAGAAAACTAAATACTGCTTCCAGAAGACCAAATACTGCAGCTAGAAGACCAGATACTGCTAGTAGAAAGCAAATAGTGATGGTAAAAAACAAGTTACTACTAATAATGACCAAAATCAACTTTCTCTTTATAGAAAATCAGTCATTGTTAACTAAACACTGCTTCCAGAAGACCAAGCATTACTTCCAGAAGATAAATACTGCGTCTAGTAGACTAAATATTGCTTTCAGAAGACTAATACTGCTATCAAAAGATTAGATGCTGCTCTAAAAGGCTAAATACTGTTTCCAGAAGACTATCATTGCGACCAAAAGAGTAGATATTGCTTTCAGAAAACTAAATACTGCTTCCAGAAGACCAAATACTGCAGCTAGAAGACCAGATACTGCTAGTAGAAAGCAAATAGTGATGGTAAAAAACAAGTTACTACTAATAATGACCAAAATCAACTTTCTCTTTATAGAAAATCAGTCATTGTTAACTAAACACTGCTTCCAGAAGACCAAGCATTACTTCCAGAAGATAAATACTGCGTCTAGTAGACTAAATATTGCTTTCAGAAGACTAATACTGCTATCAAAAGATTAAATGCTGCTCTAAAAAGCTAAATACTGTTTCCAGAAGACTAATATTGCGACCAAAAGAGTAGATACTGCTTCCAGAAGACCAAATACTGCAGCTAAAAGACCAGATACAGCTAGTAGAAAGCAGATAGTGATGGTAAAAAATTAGATACTACTAGTAATGACCAAAATGAACTTCCTCTTTATAGAAAATCAGACATTGTTAACTAAACACTGCTTCCACAAGAGCAAGCAATGCTTCCAGAAGATAAATACTGCGTCTACTGGACTAAATATTGCTTTCAGAAGATTAATACTATTACCAAAAGATTAGATGCTGCTCTAAAAGGCTAAATACTGTTTCCAGAAGACTAACATTGCGACCAAAAGAGTAGATATTGCTTTCAGAAGACTTAATACTGCTTCCAGAAGACCAAACACTGCAGCCAGAAGACCAAATACTGCTAGTAGAAAGCAAATAGTGATGGTAAAAAACAAGATACTATTAGTAATGACCAAAATCAACTTCCTCTTTATAGAAAATTAGACATAGTTAACTAAACACTGCTTCCAGAAGACCAAGCATTGCTTCCAGAAGATAAATACTACGTTTACTAGACTAAATATTGCTTTCAGAAGACTAATACTGCTACTAAAAGATTAGATGCTGCTCTAAAAGGCTAAATACTGTTTCCAGAAGACTAACATTGCGACCAAAAGAGTAGATACTGCTTCCAGAAGACCAAACATTGCTTCCAGAAGATAAATACTGCGTCTTGTAGACTAAATATTACTTTCAGAAGAATAACATTGCTACCAAAAGACAAGATATTACCAGTGAAGATCAGAACCTGCTTATAGAAGATTAGACAATTATGACAGAAGACTAAATACTGTTTGCAGATGATTAGATACTACTCGTGATGATAAAAAACAAGATACTACACCAACGAAAACCAGTATCTGTTTATAAGAAATTAGACAGTGATGGCAGAAGACTAAATACTGTTTCCAGATGATTCGATACTACTAGTGATGGCAAAAGACAAGACACTACGTGAGGACCACAACCTCCTTATAGAAAATTATACACTGATAGCCAATATAAACAACAGTGATTAAGAAGAATAACATTAAAATTTCAAAATATTTTAATAAACCTGCACAATTAAAATCATTCAAAGCGGGCCTGTTTTTACTATTCAACAGTAAAAAAGAGAAATAATTTGTTGAAAATAATATAAGATGACGCCCGTTTTTTCTAATAGCTTTCATCAATTCTTGTAGATTTAAAATATGCTTAAATCAAACTTTCTCACTATCAACTCATTTTAATCAGCAAAAATTGACGTTTTGAAATGTCAAAAATAAGATTTAATTCGAGTAATTACCGATAGATGGAGTGACATATTACAACATAACCTATAATATACATTTAACGTAATTTAAAAGTTAATTTTTTTTACCTTGTTCGGAGACGCATTTTTCAACTTTATCTTTGACATCTTTAATTTGATCTCCGCACGGTTCCAAGTCGACTTTCGGGGGGTTCATGGTGCAAGCGACGTATTTGATCCCTTGGGTGGCATCGCGCTCCCCATCTTTCTCCGGCGACAACGCGTCAAAAGCGCAAGCTTGGTGTAAAGTCGCGTTCGCCTCCGAATCGCCACCGTCGCAAGTCAATTTCGAATCATCAAACTAAATTTATTAGTTATTTCAAATTAATTAATAAAAATAAAACGTTTAATAAAATAATAATTACCGTGCAAGCAGCGATGGGGTAAAGATTCAAACTGACAAATTCGGCGAAGATATTCTTTGACATCTCGGAGACAGATTCTTTGATAAATTCCCCCGATTTTTGATCCATCGGCGAATAGAAGATGTCCACTTTCAGCTGGAAAAACGAAAAAGATTAAAAATTTAATTTAATTTTTTTTGGGGTGGGCCAAATCGAAACCTTTTTAGCTTCGACATCACTTTGTGCGATCAAAACGATTAGGAACAGGGTGATTAATGAACGATGAGAGAATTGATCGTGTTTTGCCATCTTCTTGTTGGTGCTCGATTTCTTCTCGTTGAAAGTTTTTTTTTTGTTACAAATTAAAGCATTAAGCCTTTGTCGAAAGATATTACAGTTTGAAGTTGATAAAAAAAACTCGTTTGACTCGGTTGTCACGACGACCGACGACAAAAAGAAAACGATAGCTTTCTCGAAAAATTTTTTTTTAAATATATTTTATCACAAACGATTTGATTTCTTTAAAAAATCAAATTAAATAAATTTAATTAAGCGCCATCTGTGAATGAAAAGTCGAAACTAAAAATTTAACCTCAAAATTTATTATTTTTGACGTTTCAAAATTAATTTTGACGTTTAATTATTAATATGATTATAAAAATCATTTTTCTTTAGGTGATTTTAAAAATTTTTTATTCTCCAAAAAGTTCTTACCCACTTTGAACAATTTTGCAAATATAGAATTAGTTTCTAATAATTTTGAACAATTTGGTAGAACAAAAAATCATTTAGACAAACTTTCAATGATTGCCATGAAGCTTTGACTCATTTTGAACAATTTTGCAAAGTTATAATTAACACCCATTCATTTTGCAACAACTTTGGAGAACTTAGTAGAGCAGAAAAGTAACTTACAACCATTTAGACAAGCTTCCAATGATTGCCACGAACCTTAATATCATATATAACAATTTTGCAAAGTTGCAATCACTTCTTAATCGCTTTGCAGAAATTTTTAACAGCTTAGAAAGGCAATAAACCTTGTTTTAAGCATTTAGACAAACTTCTAATAACCCCCCAGATGATTAAAATAACTTGCACACATTTTGGACAACCTAGAAATCACTTTCAATCATTTAGACATGTTTTCAATAATTCCATGAACCTTACAATCATTTTTGACAATTTTTGCAATCACATTACCGTTTTGCAGAAATTTTTAACAGCCTAGAAAGGCAATAAACATAGTTTTAAGTATTTAGACACACTTTTAATGATCAATAATCAGATGATAACCATTTTGAATAAGTTTCCAATACTCCAAATAAGCTCTTAATTGTTTTGCAGAAATTTTGAGCAATCTGGAAAGGCAAAAAGTGTGTTTCTATTCATTTAGACAAGTTTCTAATGATTACCAAGAAGGTTTGAATAACTTCGAACAACTTTGGAAAGTTGTAATCAACTGCAAAATGATTTGCAGAAATTTTGAACTACTTAGAATAGCAATTAATCGATTTTTAGCGATTTAGACAACCTTCCAATAAGTCCCAAGAAGTTTCTGATTACTTTGAACAATTTTGCAAAATTGGAATGACTTCCTAACCAGTTTGCAGAAATTTTGGACAACTTAGAAATGCAGAAAAGTTATTTCTAATGATTTAGACAAATTTCTAATGACTACCAAGAGGATTTGTATCATTTCCAACAAATTTGGAAAGTTGTAATCGACTCCCAAATAATTTGCAGAAATCTTGAACTACTTAGAATAGCAATAAATCGATTTGTAGTGATTTAGACAACCTTTTACAACGTCCCAAGAAGTTTCTGATCATATTGAACAGTTTTGCAAAATTGCAATGGCTTCCTAACCAGTTGGCAGAAATTTTGGACAACTTAGAATGGCAGAAAAGTTATTTCTCAGCAACCCATGACAATCTTATTTTTAAAATAATAAGGAAAAACGATATTTATGGTAAAAAAAATTTTGAATTCAAATTTTACTGATTTATTTGAATCGAGCAGCTCGAATTTGTTCGAATCGACACCCAACACGGATAATTTTCGATTAAAAATTAATTTTGACAGATCGCCATTTTGATTTATCTGTCATTACAAAAATTAAATTATCTCGAGAACGCGTTGAGATAAAGTAGTCGTGTTTAGTGTTAAATTAACGCGTTTTTAACGCTTAATGCGACTAAATGGTTTATAATTAATAAAAAACATATCAAAAATTATTCATTTTTAAAATTTTTTAAAATCGGCCATTTTGAGTTTAAAAATTCTTCAAATCCAAATTTTAATGATTTATTTGATTCGAGAAGCTCGGGTTTGTTCGAATCGACACCCAACACGGACAATTTTCGATTAAAAATTGATTTTGACAGGTCGCCATTTTGATTTATCTGTCATTAAAAAAATTAAATTATCTCGAGAACGCGTTGAGATAAAGTAGTCGTGTTTGGTGTTAAATTAACGCGTTTTTAACGCTCGATTCAACTAAATAGGTTATAATTAATAAAAATATATCAGAAAAAAATTAATTACTCATTTTTTTTTCTTTTTCTTATATAAAAAATAAAATTTTACTCTAAAATAATAAGGAAAAAGAATATTTATGGTAATAAAAAAAATTTAGGTTGGAATTAAAAAAAAAAATTCAAAATCGGCCATTTTGAATTTTGAAAATTCTTTGAAAACAAATTTTAATGATATATTTGAATAGAGAAGCTCGTATTTGTTCGAATCGACACCCAACACGGCTACTTTTCGATTGAAAATTGATTTTGACAGGTCGCCATTTTGATTTATCTGTCATTACAAAAATTAAATTATCTCGTGAATGCGTTGAGATAAAGTAGTCGTGTTTGGTGTTAAATTAACGCATTTTTAACGCTCGATTCAACTAAATAGGTTAAACTTTAAAATAAATTTTAACATTAAAATTATAAATCGGACCAACGACAAAAAAGAAAATTTTTTTTATAGAAATATTAAATAACAACGATTTGATTTCTTTAAAAAAAAATTAAATTAAAAAAATAATTAAATAATTAATTAAGCGCCATCTATGAGTGAAAAGTCGAAACTAAAAATGTAACCTAAAAATAATTTTGAAACGTCAAAATTGACGTTTAATTTAATAATATGATCACAAAAATCGTTTTAATTATAATATGTGTCGTTGAATTGTTACAAACGAGCGAATATCTCCACGAACGAGTGCTTATTAATAATTTTTACAGTAATAAATCAAATGATTAATTTTCTTTTAGGTGATTTTAAAGATTTATTATTCCGCATTGGACCCAACGTGTTTAGATTTTTTCCGGCACGAATTAAACGATTTAATCAGTTCGCAATTGGTGTATTACATCCACATCGAAATGCACCCCTTCGCCGGTTGCGATTACAACGAAGAAACGAAATACATTTATTGCAAATTAGGGCAAGGCGAGACGATATCGAACATGCACCATCTATGCGCCATGCACCAAATTAATACTTTACTACCGAAAGCGCCAGAAACTAGTTATAACATCGATGCGATCCGTTACATTGTGTGTACGTTAAAGGAGGATGAAGCTATAGAAGATCGATTGATTAATGTGGAGAGTTGCTCGAAATACACCAAAGATATCGATGAGGAAATCGATGATTGCGAAGAATCGAATCGGGACGTTTTTATTTCGAATTTGAATCATATTAACTCGGTTAATCTAACGGAGATTCCTATGATTGTTATTGCGGAGTCGGAGGAGGGGCTTTTTGAGCGGAGACAAAAGATATTAGAGGAAATGTGTAAGCTGTTAGGGCCGTATAGGAGCCACGAGTGTCGTAATAGAACGGGTTATAACGATAATGATATGGTGAGATCGAGAGGAAATCGATTAAAAATGATTAAAAATTATTTTTGGTTATTTTTATTAATGTCATTGTAATCTATAATTAAGTTCTTCAATATAACGTTTAAGATAAGTTAAAAGTTTTTAATCTGGCGATTTATCACAATAAAAAATATCGTAAAAAAAGTTATTTCCAATCGTTTAGACAAATTTTTAATGATTACCATGAAGTTTTGTATCATTTTGAACAATTTTGCAAAGCTTCTAATCATTTTGCAATAATTTAAAACAACTTGTTAGAGCAAAAAAGTTATTTCCAATCATTTAGACAAACTTCCAATGCTTACCACGAAGCTTTGAATCATTTTAAACAATTTTGCAATGTTGTAATTAGCTTCTAAACATTTTGCAATAATTTAAAACAACTTGGAAGAGCAAAAAAGTTATTTCCAATCATTTAGACAAACTTCCAATGCTTACCACGAAGCTTTGAATCATTTTAAACAATTTTGCAATGTTGTAATGAGCTTCTAAACATTTTGCAATAATTTAAAACAACTTGGAAGAGCAAAAAAGTTATTTCCAATCATTTAGACAAACTTCCAATGATTACCACGAAGTTTTGAATGATTTTGAACAATTTTGCAAAGCTTCTAATCAATTTGCAATAATTTAAAACAACTTGTTAGAGCAAAAAAGTTATTTCCAATCATTTAGACAAACTTCCAATGATTACCACGAAGTTTTGAATCATTTTGAACAATTTTGCAAAGTTGTAATTAGCTTCTAATCATTTTGCAATAATTTAAAACAACTTGTTAGAGCAAAAAAGTTATTTCCAATCATTTAGACAAACTTCCAATGCTTACCACGAAGCTTTGAATCATTTTGAACAATTTTGCAAAATTGAATTCATTATTTAATCGCTTAAAAAAGCAACAAACTTAGTTTCAAGCATTTAGACACACTTTTAATGATCACCCAGGAGATTAGAATAATTTTAAACAATTTTGCAAAACTTAAATCAACTCCCAACCAGCTCGCATACATTTTGGGCAACCTAGATCTCAATTTCAACCCTTTAGATAAGCTTAAAATTACTTTTAACAATTTTGCAAAGTTGCAATCACTTGTTAACCGCTTTGCAGAAATTTTTAGCCACATCAGAAAGCAATAAACTTAGTTTTAAGCATTTAGACACACTTTTAATGATCACCAAGGAGATGATAACCATCTTGAATAATTATTTCAATGTTTTAATCAGCTCTCAACAGTTTTGCAGAAATTTTGGACAATTGTAGAAAAGTTACTTCTAATCGTTTAGACAAATTTCTAATGATTACCAAGTAGGTTTGAATCATTGTGAATAATTTTGGAAAGCTATAATCAACTCCAAAACAGTTTGCAGAAACTTTGAACTAATTAGAATAGCAATGAATCAATTTTTAGTGATTTAGACAACGTTGTAATAAGTCCCAAGATGTTTCTGATCACATTGAATAATTTTGCAATGACTTCCTAATCAGATTGCAGAAATTTTGGACAACTTAGAACGGCATAAAAATAATTTCTAAGCAACCCATAACAATCCTACTTTTAAAATAATAAGCAAAAAAATTTTGTTGCAAATTTAATGATTTATTTGAATTAAGAAGCTCGAATTTGTTCGAATTGATACCCAACACGGCTAATTTTCGATTAAAAATTAATTTTGACAGGTCGCCATTTTGATTTATCTGTCATTAAAAAAGTTAAATTATCTCGAGAACGCGTTGAGATTAAGTAGTCGTGTTTGGTGTTAAATTAATGCGTTTTTAACACTCGATGCGACCAAATGGTTTATAATTAATAAAAAACATACCAAAAATTAATCTTTTTTTTTTAATTTTTCAAAATCGGCCATTTTGGATTTTAAACATTCTTCAAATGCAAATTTTAACGATTTATTTGAATCGAGAAGCTCGAATTTGTTCGAATTGATACCCAACATGACTAATTTTCGATTAAAAATTAATTTTGACAGGTCGCCATTTTGATTTATCTGTCATTAAAGAAATTAAATTATCTCGAGAACGCGTTAAGATAAAGTAGTCGTGTTTGGTGTTAAATTAACGCGTTTTTAACGCTCGATGCAACTAAATGGTTTATAATAAATAAAAAAGCATACTAAAAATTATTCATTTTTTCTTTTTTTATAACAAAAATAAAATTTTACTCTAAAATAATAAGGAAAAATGGTATTTATGCTAAAAAGAAAATTTTTAAGATGGAATTGTAAAAAAAATAATTAAAATCGGCCATTTTGAATTTTAAAAATTTTTCAAATTCAAATTTTAATGATTTATTTGAATCGAGAAGCTCGAATTTGTCCGATTTGATACCCAACATGATTAATTTTCGATTAAATATTAATTTTGACAGGTCGCCATTTTGATTTATCTGTCATTAAAGAAATTAAATTATCTCGAGAACGCGTTAAGATAAAGTAGTCGTGTTTGGTGTTAAATTAACGCGTTTTTAACGCTCGATGCAACTAAATGGTTTATAATAAATAAAAAAGCATACTAAAAATTATTCATTTTTTCTTTTTTTATAACAAAAATAAAATTTTACTCTAAAATAATAAGGAAAAATGGTATTTATGCTAAAAAGAAAATTTTTAAGATGGAATTGTAAAAAAAATAATTAAAATCGGCCATTTTGAATTTTAAAAATTCTTCAAATTCAAATTTTAATGATTTATTTGAATCGAGAAGCTCGAATTTGTCCGAATTGATACCCAACATGACTAATATTCGATTAAAAATTAATTTTGACAGGTCGCCATTTTGATTTATCTGTCATTAAAGAAATTAAATTATCTCGAGAACGCGTTAAGATAAAGTAGTCGTGTTTGGTGTTAAATTAACGCGTTTTTAACGCTCGATCCAATTAAATAGGTTATAATCGAAAATCGGGCATATTGAATTTTGAAAATTTTCAATTTGCAAAAAATTTGGACAATTTAGAATGGTTATTTCCAAGCAACCCATGACAATCTTATTTTCTTTTTTAATAAACGTCAAAAAATCAAAAATTTTTCGATTACTATTAATAAATATTAACCCAAAATGGAATCAACTTACATAGTAAGCCAAATTTTAATGTTAACGAAAAAATTAACGTAATTTTAATTAATTTTAGGTCGAAACCCATAATTGCCCCTTCATCGGGATCGAAACCGACGACGTTTACTCGTGTTTTCGAAACGAGGCGTGTTGCGAGGGCGGTTGTTGCCCAAAACCGTATTTAACGACGTTTCGGATGTGTTACGTCTGGTTAACGATAGCCGCGGTGCTTTTCGTGTGCTCGGGGGGGCTAAAACTGTGCAAATCCCGCCGGAGATTAACCCAAAATCGATTTTTAAACCAAAATAATACTCCCAATAACCAAGATGTTCACGAAATCGCCAATTTACAACTATATTTAAACAACCCCCCACCCAGATTATCAAACTTAGACGAACAAATTAATTTGAGAAACCTTTTAGGATCAACCGATGCGTGTCACATCGCCATCGATCGATACATCGCGTGTAGAAACGGCAAGAACCAATTCATTCCAATTTAATTTGATTAATTTTAATTTTTTAGCGAGGACTCGTTTGAATGCTTGTTCGAATTTACCCCCACCCTATAACTCGGTCGGTGCAAAAGAGACCAGTTGTGACCCGTTCGATCCCCCACCACATTACAGCACGCTCGTTTCCGATTCGAGCGCACCAAAAACGAACGTTCCCGAAGTTCAAAATCCCCACTCGGAAATCCGTTCGGAAATCGGGTTGGAACAAGTTAACCCCCACGATTTAGAACGAGATGGCGATAAAAATTGCAATAATAACGAATATGTTTAAAAAAAATGAAATCAAAAATGTTTAACTAAAATCATTTGGAAAAAATAAATAATAACAACAACGAAGTTAGTTGCGATTCGTTCGGGGAGAAAGAGAAAATCAATAGATTAAGGCGTCGCGACGTTGGGCGTCGACCCGTTCGGTGTGAGAAAATCGCCGTGTTGGTTTTTGAGGGGTTTTAAATTTTTAAAGTTAATCAATCGGATTAATTAATAATTAATCGACGTTTTAAAAGTTTTAAAAGTGGACAAAAAATATTAAGGAGTGGTTTTTAAGCACATTATGAGCGTCAAGGTTAGTACATACACATTAATGAATTAATAAAAAAATTTTTTGCACCTAAAAAATTGTTTTGAATCGGCTTAAACAAATTACGTAGTGTTTGAGTTGAAAAATCTGTTTCGATATACGTTTTCGCTTCCAAGGTTATATTTAAATATCGGGAGAGCGAATTAGATCGTGGAGGGGGGATTTATAAACACTTAAAGATGGAATGTTTATTTTCAATGTACCGGGATGAGATAAAATTTTATTTTTTGGATAATATTTAAGTGATTGTTGATAAATTTGACTAGGGGAGGGCGGGTTTGCTCGAATCGATACCCAACACGACCACTTTTTGATTGAAAATAAAGGTGTTGATTTTGACAGGTGGCCATCTTTATTTTTTATCACCACACAATCGATTTTATCTAATTTGTCTTTAATCAAAATTAAATTATCTCGAAAACAAAGATTGAATTAAAAAAAAATAATCAAAATCGACCGTTTTGAATTTTGAAAATTCTCTAAATGCAAATTTTAATGATTTATTTGAATCGAGAAGCCCGAATTTGTTCGAATCGATACCCAACATGACTATATTTCGATAAAAAATGGCGTTGACGTTTTAATTTTGACAGATCGCCATTTTGATTTATCTGTCATTAAAGAAATTAAATTATCTCGGTAACGGATTAAGATAAAGTGGTCGTGTTTGGTGTTAAATTAACGTATTTTTAACGCTTTATTCGATTAACAAGGTTATAATTAATAAAAAATGTAAAAAAAAAATTACTGATTACTTTATTATAACGAAAATATATAATTTAACTCTAAAATTATAAATGGGAAGAATATTTGGTGTTAAATGAAAAAATTTTGAGATAGAATTAAAAAAAAATTAATCAAAATCGGTCATTTTGAATTTTGAAAATTCTCTCAATGCAAATTTTAATGATTTATTTGAACCGAGAAGCCCGAATTTGTTCGAATCGATACCCAACATGACTATTTTTCGATACAAAATGGCGTTGACGTGTTAATTTTGACAGGTCGCCATTTTGATTTATCTGTCACTAAAGAAATTAAATTATCTCCGGGACGGATTAAGATAAAGCGGTCGAGTTTGGTGTTAAATTAACGCATTTTTAACGCTTTATTCGGTTAACAAGGTTATAATTAATAAAAAATGTTTTAAAAAAAATTGCTGATTACTTTTTTATAACGAAAATAAAATATTAACTTTAAAATTATAAATAGGAAGAATATTTAGTGTTAAACGAAAAATTTTTGAGATTAAATTTAAAAAAAAATTAATCAAAATCGGCCATTTTGTATTTTGAAAATTCTCTAAATGCAAATTTAATGATTTATTTGAATCGAGAAGCTCGAATTTGTTCGAATCGATACCCAACATGACTATTTTTCGATAAAAAATGGCGTTGACGTTTTAATTTTGACAGGTCGCCATTTTGATTTACCTGTCATTAAAAAAAATAAATTATCTCGGTGACGGATTAAGATAAAGTGGTCGTGTTTGGTGTTAAATTAACGCGTTTTTAACGCTCGATCAAACTAAATAGGTTATAATTAATAAAAATATATCAGAAAAAAATTCAATTACTCATTTTTTTTCTTTTTTTTATATAGAAAATAAAATTTTACTCTAAAATAATAAGAAAAAAAGATATTTATGGTAATAAAAAAAAATTTAAGATGGAATTAAAACAAAATAATCAAAATCGGCCATTTTTAATTTTGAAAATTCTTTGAAAACAAATTTTAATGGTTTATTTGAATCGAGAAGGTCGAATTTGTTCGAATCGACACCCAACACGGCTAATTTTCGATTAAAAATTGATTTTGACAGGTCGCCATTTTGATTTAACTGTCATTAAAAAAATTAAATTATCTTGGAAACGCGTTGAGATAAAGTAGTCGTGTTTGGTGTTAAATTAACGCGTTTTCAACGCTCGATCCAACTAAATAGGTTATAATTAATGAAAATATATTAGAAAAAACTCAATCATTTTTTTATATAAAAAATAAAATATTACTCTAAAATAATAAGGAAATGAGATATTTATGTTAATAAAAAAATTTAAGATGGAATTAAAAAAAAATAATCAAAATCGGCCATTTTGAATTTTGAAAATTCTTTGAAAACAAATTTTAATGGTTTATTTGAATCGAGAAGCTCGAATTTGTTCGAATCGACACCCAACACGGATAATTTTCGATTAAAAATTGATTTTGACAGGCCGCCATTTTGAATTATCTGTCATTAAAAAAATTAAATTATCTCGGGAACGCGTTGAGATAAAGTAGTCGTGTTTGGTGTTAAATTAACGCGTTTTAAACGCTCGATCCAACAAAGTAGGTTATAATTAATAAAAATATATCAGAAAAAAATTCAATTACTCATTTTTTTTCCTTTTTAAATAAAAAACCAAATTTTACTTTAAAGTAATAAGGAAAAAGGATATTTATGTCAATAAAAAAAATTTAAGATGGAATTAAAAAAAAAATAATCAAAATCGGCCATTTTGAATTTTGAAAATTCTTTGAAAACAAATTTTAATGATTTATTTGAATCGAGAAGCTCGAATTTGTTCGAATCGACACCCAACACGGATAATTTTCGATTAAAAATTGATTTTGACAGGTCGCCATTTTGATTTATCTGTCATTAAAAAAAATTAAATTATCTCGAGAACGCGTTGAGATAAAGTAGTCGTGTTTGGTGTTAAATTAACGCGTTTTTAACGCTCGATCCAACTAAATAGGTTATAATTAAAAATAAAGCATGCAAAAAAATCGTTAAATTAAATTTTTGGTAAATTTTCACTCCCGACGTTTACATTTAACACAAGCGACGCACAAAACGTTTTATTTTTTTTACCTGAAAATGTATGCACGCAAAACGCGCATGTTCCGAGGCGGTTTTATTTACAAAATAGGTCTCGGTTATCGTTTCGCTCTCGCCAATTCTCGGGACAGTACTCCAAATCGCTTCAAACGATTTGGATCATCGCTAACATAAAATTTTCATCGGATACAAAAATACGATAAATTAAGTTTTTTAATAAAAGTGGAGGTGAGTTAAAATCGATTTAAACAAAAATTGGGTTTATTGATGAATTATTTGGTGTAATGGGAGGATGTCGTGCCCTTTGCTACATACTCGGAAAGAAAGAGAGAGAGTAAATGTGATCGTCAAGTGTATAATGACGGTTTTTGCGCTATAAATAACGACAATTTGAGATCATTTCGAATTCGATGATAATAATAATAATTATGTAATAATAATAACATTCTTTTTGATTAGATGACGAAATATAAACATGCAGATTTCGCCGATGAAGATAGCATCGGAAGTGTTCAACTTACCGAAGGTAAATAATTAATTAATTAATTAAAATTTCCTTATTTATTTATGTTTTTGAATAGGAATAAGCACGAGCGCGACTCACATCCGTTATCACACCGGTTCGAGCATGTGGCGGAGACGTTCAATGTTAGAAAAAGGTCTTTTGGTCATGGTCGGAACGTTACTTTTCGTCGTTATCGTTTTAGCGATCCTTTTAAACGGCGCCGATAACACAATTCATGAACAAAGAGTAAACAAAAATTGAATAAATTTAAACAAATATTGAATTTAAAAATTCTCTTTTAGATTAAAAACTCCCAAAACAACGCAACAAAAAATCTTCCATGTTTAAACGAGACCTGTATTCACATAGCGAGTACCATATTGGGATCGATGGACTCCAATGTAGATCCTTGCGATGATTTTTACGCTTACTCCTGCAACGGTTGGATTAAAAATAACCCGACGCCCGAAGGGAAAAGTTCGTGGAGTACATTTTCGAAATTAGAACAACAAAATCAACTGGTAATCAAACACGTTCTCGATAAACCCATCGAAACGCTCAAATCAAAAGCGGAGCAAAAAGCGAAAATGTATTATCAATCGTGTTTGGATTCGAACGAAACGATTGAAGCGTTGGGGGCGAAACCGATGTTGGATTTATTGAGGAAATTGGGCGGGTGGAATGTGACCACCGCTAATTTTACGTTGGATTTGGAAAGGTGGGATTTGCAAAAAATTATTCAACCCATCCAAAACAAATATAATGTTGGAGCGTTATTTTCGTACGCTGTCGGCGAGGATGATCGAAATTCGAGTAGACATATCTTGCAAATTGATCAGAGTGGGTTGGTTTTACCAACGAGGGAGTATTATTTGAATAAAACCGAACATGGGAAAGCCGTTAAAGCTTATTTGGAATATATGACTAAAGTAAGTAAAAAAAAATTAAAATTTTTAACGATTTTATGGTCCACTTCCGGTCGATCGACCATCTTGAAAATATCTTAGATCAAAAAATCGAAATGAACATCCCATATACACAAAATTTTAAAAACATAGTTGCAATGACATCAAAAAAAACAATGTTGCCGACTTTTTGGAGGACACTGTATATTTCTGTACAGTAAGCGTCATAAGTAGGGTGCTTCAAATTCAATTAATTATTAATGTTAAAATTCGTAATCTACGATAAAAATCCTTTAAAATGATACCAAACACGACCCATTTACGATTAATTTCAAATTACCGATTTCGGTTTCGAATTCGCCTGATGATGCTAATTTCAAAAAAATTTTTAAAAAAAGAATTTTTTGATCGGTGATTCTACAAGAAATTGGAAACGTTTCAAGATGTCTTAAATAATTAATTTGTGTATCTTTCAAATATAATCAAGATAGGTAGCTTCCTTTTTCTAATTTTTAGTAAGAAATTCGTAATCTACATGAAAAACCCTTTAATTTGATACCAAACTCGCCATATTCACGAGGATATAAAAAAAAAACAAAATGGCGGCCACTTTGGTGATTCTTAACCTAACATTTTTAGCTTTCAATATAAATATATCGTGTTTGGTATCAAATTAAAGCAAATTCAATTTTATAAACGATTTTAGTCACCAAAATATCGATTTTAATTAATTAATTCTTTCTTGCGAAATTAATTAATTCTGCAAAATCACTTAAAAATTTTATTTTGATGGAAAATCGTAATCTGTATTAAAAACCCTTTAATTTGATACCAAACTCGCCATATCTATGATTATATAAAAAATAAAAGTGAAAAACAAAATGGCGGATTTTCTATTGATTTATAACCTAACTTTTTTAAGTTTCAAGATAAATATAGCGTGTTTGGTATCAAATTATAGCAAATTCAATTTCATAACCGATTTTAAAAGCGAAAATATCGATTTTGATTAATTAATTTTTTTTGCGAAATTATTTAATTCTACAAAATCGCTTAAAAAGTCTAATTTCAATGAGAAATCGTAATTTGTGTTAAAAACCCTTTAATTTGATACCAAACTCGCCATATTCACGAAGAATTAACAAAAAAATCAAAATGGCGGATTTTTTTTTGATACATAACCTAACTTTTTTAACTTTCAATATAAATATATCGTGTTTGGTATCAAATTAAAGCAAATTCAATTTTATAACCGATTTTAAAAGCGAAAATATCGATTTTAATCATTTAATTTTTTGTTGCGAAATTATTTAATTCCAGAAAATCGTTTAAAAAGGTTAATTTTAATGAGAAATCGTAATCTGCATTAAATACCCTTTAATTTGATACCAAACTTGCCATATTTATTATGAAATAAATAAATAAGAGAAAAACAAACAAAATGGCGGATTTTTATTGATTCATAACCTAACTTTTTTAATTTTTAAGATAAATATAGCGTGTTTGGTATCAAATTAAAGCAAATTCAATTTTATAAACGATTTTAACCGCGGAGATATCGATTTTAATTAATTCATTTTTTTTTTTAATTAAATAATTTCACAAAATTGGTTGATTTCAATGAGAAATCTTAATCTGCATTAAAAGCCTTTTAATTTGATACCGAACACGCTATATTTATGATGAAATGAAAACATAAAACAAAATGGCGGATTTTTATTGATTCATAACCTAACTTTTTTAATTTTTAAGATAAATATAGCGTGTTTGGTATCAAATTAAAGCAAATTCAATTTTATAAACGATTTTAACCGCGGAGATATCGATTTTAATTAATTCATTTTTTTTTTTAATTAAATAATTTCACAAAATTGGTTGATTTCAATGAGAAATCTTAATCTGCATTAAAAGCCTTTTAATTTGATACCGAACACGCTATATTTATGATGAAATGAAAACATAAAACAAAATGGCGGATTTTTATTGATTCATAACCTAACTTTTTTAATTTTTAAGATAAATATAGCGTGTTTGGTATCAAATTAAAGCAAATTCAATTTTATAAACGATTTTAACCGCGGAGATATCGATTTTAATTAATTCATTTTTTTTTTTAATTAAATAATTTCACAAAATTGGTTGATTTCAATGAGAAATCTTAATCTGCATTAAAAGCCTTTTAATTTGATACCGAACACGCTATATTTATGATGAAATGAAAACATAAAACAAAATGGCGGATTTTTATTGATTCATAACCTAACTTTTTTAATTTTTAAGATAAATATGGCATGTTTGGTATCAAATTAAAGCAAATTCAATTTTATAAACGATTTTATGGATTTTTTAGGTCGGTGTTTTATTAGGAGGTGAACCCAACTCCACAAAAGAACAAATGTCGAAAATAATCGAGTTCGAAACGAAATTGGCCAACATAACAACACCGAGCGATCAACGCCGCGACGAAGAAACCCTTTACAACCTAATGACCATCAAAGAATTACAAGATAAAGCGGGATTTGTAAGTATTAGCCTCATTAAAGTAAATTTTAAACAATTAACTCGTTAATTTTAGTTGGATTGGAGAAGCTTCTTTGAAAACGCGATGAAAATCGTCAACAAAAAGATCACCATCAAAGAAAACATCGTTGTTTACGCCCCGGAATATTTAGGAAACCTAACATTACTTATCAAAGAATATAACAAAACGGAAGAAGGAAAAATGTGAGTTAATTTAAGTTTTAATCGATTAAATTAATTTATTTATTAATTTTTAGAATCTTAAACAACTATTTGATTTGGAGAACCGTCCATACCTTCACAGGGTGTCTCTCAAAAGTCTTCAGAGACGCTTATAAAGGATTACGAAAAGTTTTAATCGGAACCGAAAGCGGGGATGAACCCCAATGGCGATTTTGCGTAAGCGACACAAATAACGTTTTAGGATTCGCAATCGGTGCTATTTTCGTGCGAGAAGTATTCGACGTTGAATCAAAAATTCACGCCGAATCGATGATAAACGACGTTCGTAACGCTTTTAAACGCAACTTTAAAAATTTAAACTGGATGGACTCGGAAACGAGGAAATTAGCCGAAATTAAAGCGGATGCAATAAGCGATATGATCGGTTACCCCGAATTTATACAAGATCCTAAATTATTAGACGATCGTTATTCGAATTTAACCGTACGAAATGATACTTATTTCGAAAACAACATAAACGCGAATTTTTATAATTTAGTTAAAAATTTAGAAAAAATTAACGAACCAGTTAACAAAACAAGTTGGAGTATGACCCCATCAACAGTCAACGCTTATTACAGCCCAAGTAAGAATCAAATGGTTTTCCCAGCTGGTATTTTACAAAGCCCTTTTTACGACTCAAAATACCCGGCGAGTTTAAACTTTGGTGGGATGGGGGTGGTTATGGGGCACGAATTAACCCACGGATTCGATGACCAAGGGCGCGAATTTGATAAAGACGGGAATTTGCATCAATGGTGGAACAACGACACAATCAAATTGTTTAAAAATCGCACCGAGTGTTTCTCAAAACAATACAGCAAATACCAAGTTAACGGAAAAAACTTAAACGGCAACCAAACCTTAGGAGAGAACATCGCGGATAACGGCGGATTAAAAGCGGCTTATCACGCTTATTTAGCTTACTCAAAAAATAAACCAAAACCCGACGCGTTACCCGGACTAAAATTAACCGATAAACAATTATTCTTTTTGGCTTTCGCGCAAGTTTGGTGCTCGACGAATACGGTTGAAACGGCCAATTTAGAGATTATTAAAGATCCCCACAGTCCCGCTAAATTCCGGGTTATCGCGTCGTTAACTAATTTGAAGGAATTCAGCGAGGAGTTTAATTGCCCGGTTGGGGCGAAAATGAACCCGAAGGAACGATGCGAATTATGGTAAAAATTAAATTTAATTCGTTTAAAACAGTACTTATTTAATTAAATTAAATTAATTTTGAAATCGTTTATATAGGCAACTTATTTAACACGCGAATTCAAATTTATTTTACTTACCGATAGATGGCGCAAAAACCGGAATTTCTAAATTTTCCCCTGAAAAATAAAAATTATTTATTATTATTTTCAACAACAATAATTAAATATAATTAATAATAAGTTAATTTTTAAAAATGTTTAAAATTTTGAATTTAGCGTCTATTTTTAGTAATCTCGTTTTTGCTAATTTGACGTATAACCTCAAAATTAAAAAAACTGACGTTTTGGGCTGTCATTAAATTATTTTTTTTATGTCAATTCTCCTAATTTACAAAATCACTAAAATCGTAATACGTCAGTGCGAAACGTCAAATTTAAAATTATATCGCATTAACGTCAAAGTGAATTTGAATGAAATAATCACCTTATTTTTGTTAAGTCCATCGCCAGATTTGACTCCGTTGCACTTTCTATTGCTCCAAATCCTTAAAAACATCAAAGCTTTTATAAGCTATTCCAAGAGATTTTGAGGTTGACGCTGAAGATGGTTTGGGACGTCTTGTTATAAAGCTGGGCGCTAGATGGCGCTGGTTTCTTCGGCCATCTTCTATTAATGCTAGAATTAGAAAATGGCGTTATATGATAAGCTGTATAACTCAAAAACAGAAACAAAATCATATGGAGAAGCAAATTATCGAAGGTAGCTAAATATCGGGGGCAAAACAACATCGGCATCATTTCCAGAAGGTGCAGAAACAAGATAATGATTATTTCTATAAGAAAATATGTGCAGAAGAGAAGAATCAGATGTAGAAGTCATATTATAGCAAATCCAGAAAAAAACATCATGGGCAGAAACATTTTATAGTTGCCAAAAAGACGCTTAGCATTAATCTAATCATTTCCAGAAGAATAGATTATGTGTAAAAGAGAAAAATCAGATGCAGAAGTCATATTATAGTTATTTCCAGAAGAAAACATCACGGGCAGAAGCAAAATATCATGGGCAGAAACATTTTATCATTGCCAAAATGAAGCTTAGCATTAATCTGATAATTTCCAGAAGAATACATTATGTGCAGAAGAGAAAAATTATATGTAGAAGTCATATTATAGTAAATTCAGAAGAAAACACCATGGGCAGAAGCAAAATATCATAGGGAGAAACATTTTATCATTGCCAAAAAGAGGCTTACCATTAATCTAATCATTTCCAAAAGAATACATTATGTGCAGAAGAGAAGAATTAGATTCAGAAGTCATATTATAGTAAATTCAGAAGAAAATACCATGGGCAGAAGCATTTTATCATTACCAAAAGAAGTGTTAGCATTAATCTGATCATTTCCAGAAGAATACATTATGTGCAGAAGAGAAGAATCAGATGTAGAAGTCATATTAAAGCAAATCTAGAAGAAAACATCATGGGCAGAAGGAAAAGATCATAGGAAAAAACATTTAATCATTGCCAAAAAGAGGCTTAGCATTAATTTGATGATTTCCAGAAGAATACATTATGTGCAGAAGAGAAGAATCAGATGTAGAAGTCATATTAAAGCAAATCCAGAAGAAAACATCATGGACAGAAGGAAAATATCGTAGAGAAAAACATTTTATCATTGCCACAAAGAGGTTTAGCATTAATCTGATCATTTCCAGAAGAATACATTATGTGCAGAAGAGAATAATCAGATGTAGAAGTCATATTAAAGCAAATCCAGAAGAAAACATCATGGGCAGAAGGAAAATATCATAGGCAGAAACATTTTATCATTGCCAAAAAGAGGCTTACCATTAATCTAATCATTTCCAAAAGAATACATTATGTGCAGAAGAGAAGAATCAGATGCAGAAGTCATATTATAGTAAATCCAGAAGAAAACATCATGGGCAGAAGCAAAATATCATAGGCAGAAACATTTTATCATTGCTAAAAAGAGTTTTAGCATTAAGCAAATCATTTCCAGAAGAATATCAAGATTACTATCAGGCGTAGGGAAATTTGATGCTTAGCATGTAAAATATTGAGAACAAAAATAGTGTCACGGGCAGATGTAAAATCAACTGAGAAGTAAATGACAATGGGCAGAAGCAAATTATTAGCTGTAAAAGTTAAATATCAAGTGTAAAAGTTGCACCATAACTTATGCAGAAGAAAAATATCTTGTTCAAAAACTAAATATCACTCGGAATCGAAATATTATTAGTGGAAATAACTTTATTGATGAAAGCAGAAGACATTATTACAAGAAGAAGCGAAAAATAACTTGAAAAAGTATAATGGTGGTCATTTTGGGGAAGAGAACATGTTGTCAAAAACATAATATCATTTCCAGATTCAAATTATTAGATAAAAAAGTCAAATATCAAGTGTGGAAGTTGCACCATAACGTTTGCAGAAGAAAAAAACTAAGTGCAGAAGCAAAATATCTTGTTCAGAAACTAAATGTCACTCGGAATCGAAATATTATTGGTGGAAATAACTTTATTGATGAAGGCAGAAGAAATTATTGCAAAAAGTAAGGAGAAAAAGTGTAATGGTGGTCATTTTGAGGGAAAGATCTTTTTGCTAAAAGCGTAATATCATTGCCAAATGCAAATTATTAGGTATAGAAGTGAAATATCAAGTGTGGAAGTTGCACCATAACGTTTGCAGAAGAAAAAAACTAAGTGCAGAAGCAAAATATCTTGTTCAGAAACTAAATGTCACTCGGAATCGAAATATTATTGGTGGAAATAACTTTATTAATGAAGGCAGAAGAAATTATTACAAAAAGATGCAAAAAGTAAGGAGAAAAAGTGTGATGGTGATCATTTTGAGGGAAAGATCTTTTTGCTAAACGCGTAATATCATTGCCAAATGCACATTATTAGACGTAGAAGTGAAATATCAAGTGTGGAAGTTGCACCATAACGTTTGCAGAAGAAAAAATTAAGTGCAGAAGGAAAATATCTTGTTCAGAAACTAAATGTCATTCAGAATCGAAATATTATTGGTGGAAATAACTTTATTAATGAAGGCAGAAGAAATTATTACAAGAAGAAACGAGAAATAAGGAGAAAAAGTGTAATGGTGGTCATTTTGGGGAAAAAATCGTTTTGCCAAAAGCATAATTTCATTGCCAAATGCAAATTATTTGATGAAAAAGTGAAATATCAAGCATAAAAGTTGCACTATAACGTTTTCAGAAGAAAAAATTAAGTGCAGAAGCAAACTAACTTGTTCAAAAACTAAATATCACTCGGAATCGAAATATTATTGGTGGAAATAACTTTATTGATGAAGGCAGAAGAAATTATTACAAAAAGATAGGAGAGAAAGTGTGATGGTGGTCATTTTGGGGTAAAAATCATTTTGCCAAAAGTATAATTTCATTGCCAAATGCAAATTATTTGATGAAAAAGTGAAATATCGAGTGTAAAAGTTGCACTATAACGTTTGCAGAAGAAAAAATTAAGTGCAGAAGCAAAATATCTTGTTCAGAAACAAAATGTTGCTCGGAATCGCAATATTATTGGTGGAAATAACTTTATTGATGAAGGCAGAAGAAATTATTACAAGAAGAAACGAGAAATAAGGAGAAAAAGTGTAATGGTGGTCATTTTGGGGCAAAAATCATTTTGCCAAATGCATAATTTCATTGCCAAATGCAAATTATTTGGTAAAAAGTGAAATATCAAGTGTAAAAGTTGCACCATAACGTTTGCAGAAAAAAAAATTAAGTGCAGAAGCAAAATATCTTGTTCAGAAACAAAATGTTGCTCGGAATCACAATATTATTGGTGGAAATAACTTTATTGATGAAGGCAGAAGAAATTATTACAAGAAGAAAGGAGAAATAAGGAGAAAAAATGTAATGGTGGTCATTTTGGGGAAAAAATCATTTTGTCAAAAGCATAATTTCATTGCCAAATGCAAATTATTAGATGTAGAAGTGAAATATCAAGTGTGGAAGTTGCACCATAACGTTTGCAGAAGAAAAAATTAAGTGCAGAATCAAAATATCTTGTTCAGAAACTAAATGGTGCTCGGAATCAAAATATTTTTGGTGGAAATAACTTTATTGATAAAAACCCCAGTCTTTTACCCCAATTTTCTGTCAATTTAAACGCTTTCCTAGTTTTATATCAACANGTGCAAAAGGAAAATATCTTCTTCAGAAACAGAATGTTGCTCGGAATCGCAATATTATTGGTGGAAATAACTTTATTGATGAAGGCAGAAGAAATTATTACAAGAAGAAACGAGAAATAAGGAGAAAAAGTGCAATGGTGGTCATTTTGGGGTAAATATCATTTTGCCAAAAGTATAATTTCATTGCCAAATGCAAATTATTTGGGGAAAAAGTGAAATATCAAGTGTAAAAGTTGCACCATAACGTTTGCAGAAGGAAAAATTAAGTGCAGAAGGAAAATATCTTGTTCAGAAACAAAATGTTGCTCGGAATCGAAATATTTTTGGTCAAAATAACTTTATTGATAAAAACCCCAATCTTTTACCCCAATTTTCTGTCAATTTAAACGCTTTCCTAGTTTTATATCAACAGAAAAATCAAAAATATTGAGTGTAGACCACTCAAATAAATTTTTTTGCTTATTAATTACCAACAATATAAAATTAAACGATTTCAACATCAATTTAATGGAAGGTTCAGTGGCGTAACATTAAGTTATTAAAAATGACAACTTTCCGAGCGAGGTTAAGTTTAAATTTCGCGCCGTTACGCCACTGGCTCTAAATCTGTCAAATTAATTTCGAATCTCAATTTGATGAAATCAACCGATATTTTATAAATATCGCGTTACTTTTGTTTTAATTTTAATGAAATAACCAAACAACGCTTATATAATCGTTAAAATGTTTAAAAGATGTCGTTTTTAAGATCTAAATGAATTAAGACAATTTTTTTAGGATAGGAAATAAATTTTATTAAAACAAAATGATGATATAGTGCCATAATTTGTAATTAATTAATTAATTGGTTTAATCTCTCTGATCCTTTTGTTAGCTTAGATAATTTATAGCGAAAAAAGAAAATTGGTATTTTTTAAGAAAACGCATATTTTTACCTGTGATATAAATAAATGTATTAATAAAAATGAATTAAAACAACAAATATGTTATTATTTAATGTCAAAATTTAATTTTTGACGTTGATTTTATTATGTGATGTGTACTTACCCTTCAATAATTTTAATTATCTCCTTCATAATCCTCTTTATATCCGGATACATTTATTTAAAATCAAAAGTAAGTTTTTTTTATTTAAATAAATAAAATTAAATCGAAATTGCGCCATCTATTAGTGGGGAACTCACCTTTAATAATTCGAATTCGCGCGGAGAGATGGCGCAATTAATTTATTTTAAATTAATTTATTTTGAAATAATTTTTTTATTATTTCTTTAGGATAAAAAGTGCAAAGATTGCGAATCAATAAAAGGATTTTGCCCGATTCACTCAAATGGGACATGCCAAACCCATTTGTGTCAACACCCGTAATCATTAATGCAACTTTTAACCTCTTCCGGTACGTTATAATTTGTTTATCTGCGTTAAAAACTAAAAAAAAATCATTAAAACGCGAATTATATCATTCCATTCCCACGTTCTCATAATAAACTAACAACAATGAGATGGTGACTCACGCGAAAATTGTTTAAAAAAAAAAAATAAATAAACTAACCTGTTTTTTTTTTTCCTTTTTTTTTTAAATCGTTTCATTTCCTTGCAGAGTTTTAAATCATCTAAATTGATTTTAGGTTAACGTCAAAATATTAAACGTCAAAACAATTCGTTAGTGGCGCGAACATTCAACAGGTGACCGCTACCGAAACTAAATTAACCCCGTGACGTCACATAAAAAAATGGCTACGAATTACGAATTTTATTTTCGCGATTTTACCCCGAAAAATCACCAAGCACCGCGAAAAATCGTTCCTGGGGGATGAATCGGGACGCGAAGAACACGTTTCGAACACTTTTAACAGTTAAATCGACGATTTTCCCGGAAAAATCACGAAAAATTCACCGCACGTAAACAAACCCGCAACAAGTGTCAACAAACAAAAACGAAGAGGGTGAAGTTGGTTGCGTTAAGATTATTTTTAAATTTATTGATTATTAATGGATAATTAATTAATGATTAATTAATAATTAATTAATAAAGGGTGATTTGGGTTAATTAAAATAATAATTACAAATTAATTCGGTTTATTTATTTGTGGGACAAGTTGGGTGAGTTAGACAATTAGGGTGAAGTTGGATAAAATAAAATAACGTTAATTAATTGGTGAAAACAACTTTATTTATTGATTTTAACAACAAATTGGGTCATTATTTTGTTTAATTAATCGAAATTGTTACATTTTATGTATAAATAAGATTATTTAAAAAAAATTAAGTAATAATTAAGTAATCAGCGCCATCTTTTGGGGGATTTTATAATTTATTTTTAAATTTAAATAATTAATAATTAATTGATTTAGCTTTTTTGGTACACACCTGAATCTTTGCTCACCTAGTTATTAAAATTACAGGAAAAACAAAGTTCAAGCGTGTATTTGTAAAGCTTGGATTTAAATGTTTTTGATTTTGTGAAATCTTCTTTTGTTGTTGATTAATTAGCTTTAACACACCTGAAACTTTGCTCACCCTTTTCGAAAAAAATCCGGGTTAAGGCAAAATTTCAAGCTTGCCAAAATTAATTTTATTTCGTTGACCCACCTAAGTTAGCGTTCTAAAGGTTTCTGTAACGAAGAGATGTTCTTCTTGGCGTTTCTTAAAGGTCTCTGAACTCTCTCCTCTTCTACTTACTCCCGGCGAAGAGAACAAAGCCGCAAATTGTGACCTAGTGAACAGTATTGGTTTGAAAAAAATTATTTTTTTTCTACACAAATAAAGCTTTAATGAAACGGGGCGATTTAAATAAAAAAGTTGATATGAAAATGTTTTTTGTTGATTAATTAAAATTAAAAATTTAAAAAATGTTCTGATTAAAATTTGAGAATTTCGGAATTTTCGCATTTTCCAAGGGCGCAACTCCCATAATCGAGTTCTAATAATAACCCAATGATCTAAATGCGCTAAAATTGACGTAGTGTTGGATTTAAAAGTTTTTGTTTTTTTAATCTTTTTTTAATTAATTAATTAATTAACCCAACTTAACGATTAAATTTAAGTTAACCTAAAAAATTAAAAAAAAAATAAATAAAAGAAAAAGAGAGCATCTGCCCCCGATTCTCATCATTTCCACCTCTATTGTTCTTTTAAAATACTTCCTGTTTAACCGGAAGTTAAACAACAAAAACAAAAAAAATTTTTTTTAATCAAACTCACCCATTTCATTTCTCCTCCCTTAATTTAATCCAAAAAAAATTAATTAATTAATTAACCACTCAATTTAAAACAATTTTTTCCTCAAACAAACAAAAAACGATTTTTTCTTTATTTTTTTTCTTTTTCGTTGTTTTTTTTTTTGTTTAAAAGAACTGAACGCGAAGTGATCCGGTGCTACACTAAAAGCAAAGCGCTTGTTTGTATTTGTAGACCAAAGTTGGCGACGGCTTCGGTTATATTCGTTAGAATTCGTAAAGGTTGAGTCGATATAAAAGAGTGAGAGAAAAAAAATCGAGGAAGCGGCGCGTCTCTGTGTGTGTGAGCGTGCGAAGCGGGAGTTGGTCACCCACACAAACGGAAGGTAGGCAACCGGAGGAGAAAGAGATGGTTTTACTACGTGTTGCGTCGTCATCGTCTTTATTTTCCCGTTAATAAAAAAATAAGGTCAAAAGAAAATCTTAATTCTTTTTTTTTCACGTTTAAAACGCGATTGCGAAAATAATTTGGGTTAAAACGCGGAAATAAGTTTAGATTCGTAATCTACGTCGAAAATCCTTTAAAATGACACCAAACACGATATGGTTATCTTAAAATTGATTTTTCAAGATGGCGGATTATTTTGTAGCGATTTTTAGGTTATTTTTTTATTTTTTGAGGTAACCCCATCGAGTTTGGACTCATTTTAAACGATTATTCTTGAACTATAAGAAAACATTAAGGAAAACAATTTTTTAATAAAAAAATAAAATTAAGTTGGGTTAGAAAATATTTTTTTAAATTTCTACAATAAGATTCGTAATCTAGATTAAAAATCCTTTAAAATGATACCAAACACGATATGGTTATCTTAAAATTGATTTTTCAAAATGGCGGATTATTTTGTAACGATTTTTAGGTTATTTTTTTATTTTTTGAGGTAACCCCATCGAGTTTGGACTCATTTTAAACGATTTTTCTTGATCTATAAGAAAACATTAATGAAAATAATTTTTTAATAAAAAATAAAATTAAGTTGGGTTAGAAAATAATTTTTTAAATTGATATATTAAGATTCGTAATCTAGATTAAAAATCCTTTAAAATGATACCAAACACGATATGGTTATCTTAAAATTGATTTTTCAAGATGGCGGATTATTTTGTAGCGATTTTTAGGTTATTTTTTTATTTTTTGAGGTAACCCCATCGAGTTTGGACTCATTTTAAACGATTTTTCTTGATCTATAAGAAAACATTAATGAAAAAAATTTTTTAATGAAGTAATAAAATTAAGTTGGGTTAGAAAATATTTTTTTAAATTTCTACAGTAAGATTCGTAATCTAGATTAAAAATCCTTTAAAATGATACCAAACACGATATGGTTATCTTAAAATTGATTTTTCAAGATGGCGGAATATTTTGTTGTAATTTTTAGGTTATTTTTTTATTTTTTAAGGTAACCAAGTCGAGTTTGGGTTCATTTTAAAGGATTTTGCTTGATCTATACGAAAACATTAATAAAAATCGTCTTAACCTTAAAGACAAAATTAAATTGGGTTAGATTGACTCAAAAAATAATTTTTTCAAACTAATTCATTAAAATTCGTAATCTACATTAAAAATCCTTTAAAATGACACCAAACACGCCATATTTATCTTAAAACGATTTTTTTCAAAATGGCGACTTGATTTATTTAAATCATTTAGGTTAACTTTTTCAACATTAAAGATAACTCCATCGAGTTTGGACTCATTTTAAAGCATTTTTCATAACCTATAAGAAAACATTAACAAAAACCTTCTTAACCTTAAAGACAAAATTAAATTGGATTAGATTGACTCAAAAAATAATTTTTTCAAACTAATTCATAAAATTCGTAATCTACATTAGAAATCCTTTAAAATGACACCAAACACGCCATATTTATCTTAAAACGATTTTTTTCAAAATGGCGACTTGATTTATTTAAATCATTTAGGTTAACTTTTTCAACATTAAAGATAACTCCATCGAGTTTGGACTCATTTTAAAGCATTTTTCATAACCTATAAGAAAACATTAACAAAAACCTTCTTAACCTTAAAGACAAAATTAAATTGGATTAGATTGACTCAAAAAATAATTTTTTCAAACTAATTCATAAAATTCGTAATCTACATTAGAAATCCTTTAAAATGATACCAAACACGCCATATTTATCTTAAAACGATTTTTTTCAAAATGGCGACTTGATTTATTTAAATCATTTAGGTTAACTTTTTCAACATTAAAGATAACTCCATCGAGTTTGGACTCATTTTAAAGCATTTTTCATAACCTATAAGAAAACATTAACAAAAACCTTCTTAACCTTAAAGACAAAATTAAATTGGATTAGATTGACTCAAAAAATAATTTTTTCAAACTAATTCATAAAATTCGTAATCTACATTAGAAATCCTTTAAAATGATACCAAACACGCCATATTTATCTCAAAACGATTTTTTTCAAAATGGCGACTTGATTTATTTAAATCATTTAGATTAACTTTTTCAAAATTAAAGATAATCCCATCGAGTTTGGGCTCATTTTAAAGCATTTTTCATAACCTATAAGAAAACATTAATAAAAATCTTCTTAACTTTAAAGACAAAATTAAATTGGGTTAGATTGACTCAAAAAATATTTTTTTTAAACTAATTCATTAAAATTCATAATCTACATTAAAAATCCTTTAAAATGATACCAAACACGCCATATTTATCTCAAAACGATTTTTTTCAAAATGGCGACTTGATTTATTTAAATCAATTAGGTTAATTTTCTCAAATTTTATGATAACCCCATCGAGTTTGGGCTCATTTTAAAGCATTTTTCACGCCCTATAAGAAAACATTAATAAAAATCTTCTTAACGTTAAAGACAAAATTAAATTGGGTTAGATTGACTCAAAAAATTTTTTTTTCAAACTAATTCATTAAAATTCACAATCTACATTAAAAATCCTTTAAAATGCTACCAAACACGCCATATTTATCTCAAAACGATTTTTTTCAAAATGGCGATTGACTTATTTAACCCATTTAGGTAAACTTTTTCAAAATTAAAGATAACCCCATCGAGTTTGGGCTCATTTTAAAGCATTTTTCATAACCTATAAGAAAACATTAATAAATATCTTCTTAATGTTAAAGACAAAATTAAATTGGGTTAGATTAACTCAAAAAAAATTTCTTTAAAGTAATTCATTAAAAATCATAATATACATTAAAAATCCTTTAAATTATCATCAAATCTTAGAAGGTTTTTTTCAAAATGGCGACTTGATTCATCTCTTTCAAATTTATAGATAACCCCATCGTGTTTATACTCGTTTCAAATGATTTTCCATTTTCTTAATACTTATACAGACATTATATATATTAAAAAAATCCACTTTACTGAAAATATCCCGTTACAATATCAACGGAAATAAAAACGAAGAGGGCCTTCGCGTAATAGTAGGAGTTCGCATCACATCGAAGGACACGAACCTCGTTAAAAGCTCCAGATTGATCGATTTGAACATCGTTCAGGCTCAAACTTATTTTTCAAGTTGACATTGACGTTGACATTGACGTTTTGTGTACTTTATTCGGTCTCCCAAAGAGGGCTCTGTGTCCACACAATTACCACGACTGATAATAAAAGACTAAGAATGTGCTGATCTAAATCGTGGAAGAGAGGAAATGTACAGGGTGTGTCAAAAATGCATTGAGTGACGCGCCGCAATTACGCGAGGAAATTGACAATTTCCTGCGGCGGCGAGAAGTCGAATAAAAATGGTTTGAGGGGGATGAATTTGTTGGGGGGGTGGGGTTGAATAAAAGAAGCGATATCTAGTAGTCTATAAATAAGGGGGTGGTGGAAAGGTTTTAAAGGCTCGGCCGGAGGTGCATTTAGCTGATTGAAGGTGTGTCTCGGCCCCGGTTTGGGGCGCCACACCTATTTGTTAAAGGCGCGCCCTCTATGCTTAATAATTGGATAAATGGATCCTAAATTAGAACACGAACTCTATCGCTTAATTAATTTTTTTAGTTGAATCATTTTTAAAAATTTTCAAATTAATAAAAAATAATTTTATTTATAAAATTGAATAGAAAATTGAAAATCCTGCAAAATGAGTCCAAACTCGATGGGGTTATCTTCAAAAATGGCGAAGATAACCTAAAAAAAAATCGGAAAATCGCCATTTTGAAAATGTGCTTTTTTTTGGATAACCCCATCGTGTTTGGTATCAAATTAAAGGGTTTTTAATCTAGATTACGAATCTTAATGCATGAATTTGAAAAAAATCTTTTCTAACCCAACTTAATTTTTTTTTGTGCTAAAAAATTTTTTTGTTAATGCTTTCTTCTACATCAAGAAAAATCCTGTAACATGAGTCCAAACTCGACGGGGCTATTTTTAAAAATGGCGAAGTTAACTTAAAAAAAATCGTAAAATCGCCATTTTGAAAAGGCGTTTTTTTTAGATAACCCCATCGTGTTTGGTATCAAATTAAAGGGTTTTTAACGTAGATTACGAATATTAATTTTTTATTTCTTTAAATCTAAAGAGTTTTGAAATAAAATAGAATTAAAAAAAAAATTTTTTTTTGTTAGTTTTAAAAATTAATTTATATTCTAAACCAAAAGGAAACAGCTGACTCGTTTTAAAACCAACGAAGCAGATGTGGGGTCTTAGCACCTGCCTCAAGAGAAACGGGGGTAATAAAAATGGTGTTGTGTCTGAGTCGAACCTAACCTCATAAAAAAAAAGTTCTTTTTAAATTTCTTTCTTAAACCATACCGAGTATAAAACGCGATCGTTTCAAGTCTTACCAAGCGATCTAAATAATAATAGTTGTTAAATACGCCTCAGACCCAATTTGTTGTTACAAAAGTGACATCACCTAATGTAATTTCGTTCTATTTTTAGATCCGATGATGAACTTCGTCATTTTTTATGCTCGCAATGTATCAATGCGTCAATTCAATAATAACAAACAAAAAAAAACATTAAAATTAACAAAAAAGAACTCATTAAAACAATAACAGAACCACTAAAATTATAAAATTAGATCGAAAATATCAATAAATCATTCATAAAAGGCGTTTAACGATCGGAAATTAGAGGTTTTCGTTCCAAGGTTCCCGCTTAAACAACAATGACGCCCAAAAGTAGCCGCAATTCGCGTTTAATCGGTTGTAAAAAAAATTAAAGAGGGCGCGGGGTCGTATTGTCTTATAAAAGGTGTTGCAAAAATTGTTTTGGGACCAGTTCCCGGTCGATTTCGACGAAAATAATGTCATACATGTTAAGCGAGATCATGGGCGGTGAAATCGACGATAATAACAGTGATTTGAGTGACCCACGATTTTTAACGAAAGGTAAAAAAATTGTTGAAATCGAAAAATATTACGGTTATCGTATTGGGGGTGAGAAGCGCTTTAAAATGAGTATAAACACGATGGGGTTATCTTTAAAAGTGGAAAAGATAACCTATAAATTAAGACGCCATCTTGAAAAAGTAGAATTTAAGATAAATGTGGCGTGTTTGGTGTTGTTTTAAAGGATTTTTAATGGAGATGATGAATTTAAATTAATTAATTTGAAAAAATTATTTATTAAGTCAACCTAACCTAATTTAATTTAACCTATGGAGTTGAGAAATTTTTTGTTGACATTTTCTTGGAGAATATGAAAAATCCTTTAAAATGAGTCCAAACTCGATGGGGTTATCTTAAAAAATGAAAAAGATAACCTATAAATTAAGACGCCATCTTGAAAAAGTAGAATTTAAGATAAATGTGGCGTGTTTGGTGTTGTTTTAAAGGATTTTTAATGGAGATGATGAATTTAAATTAATTAATTTGAAAAAATTATTTATTGAGTCAACCTAACCTAATTTAATTTAACCTATGGAGTTGAGAAATTTTTTGTTGATGTTTTCTTGGAGAATATGAAAAATCCTTTAAAATGAGTCCAAACTCGATGGGGTTATCTTAAAAAATGAAAAAGATAACCTAGATGTTACAAATAAATCAAGCCGCCATTTTGAAAACATCGCTTTTAACATAAATGTGTCGTGTTTGGTGTCATTTTAAAGGATTTTTGATGTAGAATACGAATTTTAATTAATTAATTTGAAAAAATTATTTTCTAACTTTAATTTTCTAACTAAGAGAAACAACTAATTTACTAAAATCGATAGTTTTGCGACTAAAACCGTCAATAAAATTGAATTTGCTTTAATTTGATACCAAACACGACATATTTATCTTAAAAGTTAAAAAAGTTAGGTTATGTATCAACTAAAAATCCGCCATTTTGATTTTTTTATTAATTCTTCGTAAATATGGCGAGTTTGGTATCAAATTAAAGGGTTTTTAATGTAGATTACGATTTATAACTCAAATTAGACATTTTGATCGATTTTATGGAATTAAATAATTTCAAAACAAAACAATTAAGTAATTAAAATCGATATTTTCCAGATTAAAATCGTTAATAAAATTGAATTTGCTTTAATTTGATACCAAACACCATATACTTATCTTAAAAGTTAAAAAAGTTAGGTTATGTGTCAACTAAAAATCCGCCATTTTGATTTTTTTATTAATTCTTCGTAAATATGGCGAGTTTGATATCAAATTAAAGGCTTTTTAATGTAGATTACGATTTATAACTCAAATTAAACTTTTTGATCGATTTTGTGGAATTAAATAATTTCAAAACAAAAAAAGTTAATTAAGTAAAATCGATATTTTCGCGATTAAAATCGTTAATAAAATTGAATTTGCTTTAATTTGATACCAAACACGATGTATTTGTCTTGAAAATTCAAAAAGTTAGGTTATGAATCAACAAAAAAGTCGGCCATTTTGATTATTTCGCTAATTACTTATATCGGCGTAAATATGGCAAGTTTGGTATCAAATTAAAGGGTTTTCGATGTAGATTACGAATTTCTTGTTAAAAATGAAAAAAAAGAAACCACCAAAAAGTAGGACGTTGTATCTTTGTTATTTTGAAAAATACATAAATTAATTTTTGAAACAATTTGAAATGCTTCTTATAAAGCAAAACCACCAAAATCGCCGATTAAAAAAATTTTTTTTAAAATAACATCTTCAGCCGAATTAAAAACCGAAATCGGTGATTTTAAATTAATCGTAAATGCGTCGTGTTTGGTATCAAATTAAAGGGTTTTTGATGTAGATTACGAATTTTAACACAAATAATTTTAATTTTTTAGGCGCTTTCTTATTAACGCCATCTCACGATTTGAGCTTGGATAAGGCCGCGAATATCTGCGACAAATTGAATTTTAAGGGCAGTTTTAGTTTGACGAAAACAGCGACCGGGATTTTGTTCAAATTTAGCGAGCCTGAAGATTACCAGCAGGTTTTTCGGAAAGGTTTTCACAAGGTACTCAATTTTCGTTTAATTTTCAAATAAGAATAAGTAAAATAATTGGGAAAAATTTGTAGTTTTCCATTTTGGTTCAACAGGTAACCGGGGGTCGTTTGTATCGAAAAGTTGCGATTCCATGTCGACCTCAAAAAACTTTTTCGTTACTCGTCAATGAGGTTCCTTTGGATATTCCCGAAGATGATATTCGAGCGAGTTTATATCGATATACATCCGTGGTAAATTTCTTTTTTTTTGAGTAATTAGTTCTATTTAATTTAATTGATTTTAGGTGGAAGTAACTCGGGTTCCACCGAAGATGGATCAATTACCCGGAAGTCCAAATCCGATTCGAATCACTTTAGCCTCCTTAGATGAATACAATAATTTGCTACAACAAGGATTGGATTTCTATGGCGCCACCTATTTCCCAACGGAACCCCACAAAAAAGACAGTTTAAAAGGAAGTAGGGAGGTTATGCCGGTTTTTGACGCTTCCGGCTTTACGAGAATACCCCCACCAGCGAGTAGATTGTTAAAACCGAGACAACAATAAAAAAATTATTAAACAAAAAATAACCAAGAAATTAAACGATAACAAAAAATAAAAAAATTAACTTCTCAAAAAATTAAAATTAATTTTTTTTTTGTTAAAATTTGCGTTTTAACGTTCAAGTGACAAGTATGACAAATTTTTAATTATTATTAATCGCCGTTTTTTGTTTTGATTTATAATTGAATTAAAAAAAATAAAAAGTTATAACTTAAACGGATTTTTTTATTCTTTTTTTTAGGTGTAAAATAAATTAATCGCATTTTTATGTGAAAATTCGTAATCGTCTTGAAAAATCCTTTAAAATGAGTACCAACATGGTGGGGTTATCTCAAAAAAAATTTCCAAGATGGCGACTAATTTATTAAGGTTATGTAGGTTATCTTTTTTAAAAATGAAGATAACTCCGTCGAGTTTGGACTCATTTTAAAGGATTTTTCATTTATTATAAGAAAATATAATTGAAAAAAAAATTTTATTAAAAAAATAAAATGAAGTTGGGTTAGAAAATAATTTTTTAAATTGATACATTAAGATTCATAATCTAGGTTAAAAATCCTTTAAAATGATACCAAACACGATATGGTTATCTTAAAATTGATTTTTCAAGATGGCGGATTAATTTATGTCAATGTTTAGGTTAACTTTTTTGTTTTTTAAGATAACCCCATCGAGTTTATACTCATTTTAAAGGATTTTTCATAATCTATAGGAAAATATTAATAAAAAATTTCCCAACCCTAATGGTTGCGTTAATTTGGCTTAGGTTGCCTTGAAAAATAATTTTTTCAAATTAATAAATTAAAATTCACAATCTACATTAAAAATCCTTTAAAATGATACCAAACACGATATGGTTATCTTAAAATTGATTTTTCAAGATGGCGGATTAATTTATGTTAATGTTTAGGTTAACTTTTTTGTTTTTTAAGATAACCCCATCGAGTTTGGACTCATTTTAAAGGACTTTTCATAATCTGTTGGAAAATATTAATAAAGAAATTCTCAACCCTAAAGGATGAGTTAAGTTGGCTTAGGTTGCCTTTAAAAATATTTTTTTTTCAAATTGATAAATTAAAATTCATAATCTACATTAAAAATTCTTTAAAATGATACCAAACACGATATGGTTATCTTAAAATTGATTTTTCAAGATGGCGGATTAATTTATGTTAGCGTTTAGGTTAACTTTTTTGTTTTTTAAGATAACCCCATCGAGTTTGGACTCATTTTAAAGCATTTTTCATAATCTGTAGGAAAATATTAATAAAAAATTTCTCAACCCTAAACGATGAGTTAAATTGGCTTAGGTTGGCTTGAAAAATAATTTACTCAAATTGATAAATTAAAATTCACAATCTACATTAAAAATCCTTTCAAATGATACCAAACACGATATCGTTATCATAAAATAGATTTTCAAGATGGCGGATTAATTTGTAGGTTATCTTTTTCATTTTTAAAGATAACCCCATCGAGTTTGGGCTCGTTTTAAAGGATTTTTCATGTACTATAAGTAAACATTACATTAATCAAATTTTTTTTATTTAATTATTAAACATGATCGTTAACAAAAAATAATTTTATTACGATTTTATAAGAAAAGGTAAGTAATTAACGTAAATCAGGTTCATCAGCTAATTTCCTTTTAATCCTAAGCAATAAAGTGGTGTACCACGGATCTAGGGTTTGCATTGAGTCATAGTCTTTAATGACATCTGTTAAGCCATCGACGTTTTGTTCTTCGATGTTTTTTATTAAATTTGAACAAAATTTGTATTCCCTGGAATCGCCGAATGCGGGATAGATTTTAACGTATTTCTCTAAATGTTTTCCCGTTTCTCCCGGATCCAAACAAAGTCGGCAAATTGCAGCTTTAAAAAAGTATTCTTTCGCGCCGTATTTTAAAAGGCTGCTTTTTAAGGAATACGTCCCGATTTTCTCGTAGATATGAATCGCTTGTTCGTAACGTTCGTTTTCGGCGGAATGTTGAGCGATTTTTAATAAACATCGATTCGCCGATGAGCTACTTTCTTCGCCTTTGTAAAAATCGGCCGCTTTTTCGTAATGATACAACATCTTTCCGACTTCCTCCGATTCATTTTCGTACATCCCCGCTATATTTTCATGCATTTTCGCCGCGGTGTTAAATCTTCCTAAATCTAAATAGATATCGATCGATTTTAAATAATTTTTTTCGGCTTCCGGTTGGGCGTTAATTTTTTTAAAACAAATCGCTGCTTGTTCGTAGTCCAAAGCGGCTTGGTGTTTATTATTATTCTCGTGAGATCCGGTTAAAGTGGCCGCTTTTGAGTAGCAATCGGCTGCTTCGGCCCAATTTTTCGAAATTTTGTATAAATTTCCCGCCTTTTTGTAACACTCGATGGCATCATCAATTTTTTTTTGGCCCCCGAAGAAAAATCTCATTATCCCGGTGTTTAACGATAGTTTTTGTTCAGCTTCGCACACCCATTTATCAGCTTCCGATTGATTCATTCGATACATTTTCTTTTTCTTTTAGAAATTTTTGAAAGATGTCAAAATAAATTATTAAAAATATAACCTTTTTGGGTTATTTATTTTCAATTATTTTAATGTGATAAGTGTTAATCAACATTTTATGACTACTTTCAAAATAATTTTAAGAAATATTAATTTTTATTAACAGAATTGTTGAATTAGAAACGAAATTTGCTTTAAAATGAGTCCAAACTCGATGGGGTTATCTTTAAAAATGAAAAAGATAACCTAAATATTCTAAAAAATGTAGTCGCCATCTTGAAAATATACATTAAATGATAAATGTGACGTGTTTGGTGTTGTTTTAAAGGATTTTTAATGAAGATTACGAATTTTGATTAATTAATTAAAAAAATATATTTTCTAAGACAATCTAGTTGTACTACAATCTTGTTGTAGTACGTGAAAAATCCTTTAAAATGAGTCCAAACTCGAGGGGGTTATCTTCAAATTTAAAAAAGTTAACCTAAATGAGTTAAGTAAATTAAGACGCCATTTTGAAAAAAATCGTTTTAAGATAAATGTGGCGTGTTTGGAGTCATTTTAAAGGATTTTTGATGTAGATTATGAATTTTAATTTATCAATTTGAAAAAATTATTTTTCAAGTCAACGCAAGCCAACTTAACTCATCGTTTAGGGTTGAGAAATTTTTTATTAATATTTTCCTACTAATTATGAGAAGTCCTTTAAAATGAGCCCAAACTCGATGGGGTTATCTTAAAAAACAAAAAAGTTAACCTAAACATTTACATAAATTAATCCGCCATCTTGAAAAATCAATTTTAAGATAACCATATCGTGTTTGGTATCATTTTAAAGGATTTTTAATATAGATTACGAATCTAAATGTATCAATTTGAAAAAATTATTTTCCAAGCCAATCTAAGCCAACTTAACTCATCCTTTAGGGTTGAGAAATTTTTTATTAATATTTTCCTACTAATTATGAGAAGTCCTTTAAAATGAGCCCAAACTCGATGGGGTTATCTTAAAAAACAAAAAAGTTAACCTAAATATTAACAAATTAATCCGCCATCTTGAAAAATCAATTTTAAGATAACCATATCGTGTTTGGTATCATTTTAAAGGATTTTTAATATAGATTACGAATCTAAATGTATCAATTTGAAAAAATTATTTTCCAAGCCAATCTAAGCCAACTTAACTCATCCTTTAGGGTTGAGAAATTTTTTATTAATATTTTCCTACTAATTATGAGAAGTCCTTTAAAATGAGCCCAAACTCGATGGGGTTATCTTAAAAAACAAAAAAGTTAACCTAAATATTTACATAAATTAATCCGCCATCTTGAAAAATCAATTTTAAGATAACCATATCGTGTTTGGTATCATTTTAAAGGATTTTTAATGTAGATTGTGAATTTTAATTTATCAATTTGAGTAAATTATTTTCCAAGCCAACCTAAGCCAACTTAACTCATCGTTTAGGGTTGAGAAATTTTTTATTAATATTTTCCTACTAATTATGAGAAGTCCTTTAAAATGAGTCCAAACTCGATGGGGTTATCTGAAAAATGAAAAAAATAACCTAAAAATCGTTACAAAATAATCCGCCATCTTGAAAAATCAATTTTAAGATAACCATATCGTGTTTGGTATCATTTTAAAGGATTTTTGATGGCGATTACGAATTTTGACGTAAAAATACGATTAAATTATTTTGCTCGGTCAAATATAACCTCAAAATAAAATTCGCGCGAAAAAATTAAAAATTTTTGAAGTAAAAATTTTTTTTAAATTGGTGCCAACATTAAAAATTTAAATTTCTCCAAGAACGATGGATTAAAAGCATAGCTGTCAAATTTGGCGTGTAACAAAAACTCATTGAATCGACCTCAAAAACCACAAGAAATTACTCGAATCGTCGCAAATCATCGAAACAAACATCGAGACGAGATAATCGACGAAAAATCTCGCGAAAACACCTCACCGGAAGCGATTTAAAAGTGATTAAACGATCGGAGTAAGCGTAAGTCTTAGAATGAACTGTCAAAAAAGCTTAAAAGAAAGTGGGAATTAAAGAAATAATAATGACGATGAAGAAAAAAGCGTTTTAATCCAAAAAAAGATGTTTGTTTTTACAAGAATTATTAAAGCCGGATTAAATCGCGGGATTTCCGGTAAAAATGTTGGAAAATTTTTTTTAGAAAAGAAAGGTTATCCCAATAACTTAATAGGAGGTGCTTTTTCGATACACAGCGATGATAACGAAAGTAATAAAGGAAGTGGAGGTCGCAGAATACGATTGGTGCCGCAAGAATTAAATAAGGAAGCGAAAATCGAAAGGAGAATTAAAATTAATCCCAGAGACGTCAATTTTAAACAACAAAATATCGAAAACGAACGATTTCGCACTGCCAGACCGATTAAATCGGGCGATTTTTCTAAAATCAAAATGGAACCAACCGTGCAAAAGGTCATCCCAAAGTTACGAAAATCATTGCCCAAATTAGAACCGCCTAATCCGAAATTGGAAGAAATTTTTGTGGACGAAAACGTACTCAAAGAAGTCTTACAAAAGAATAGAACCAAATTTGAGTACGATAACAAAGAAAAAATCGTTTCGAAAAATATCATTTCAACGGTAACGCAAACAGATTCAAGCAAAAAAGGTAACGATGATAACGAACAAAACGAACAAGAACATTCCTGGCAAACGATGAAGTTCACCTTGACGCTTTTCGGGATTTCCTTCACCGGAATCGGATTATTTTTGATCATGGAATTGGGAAAGCCGAAAATTAACGAAGACGGGATAGAAATTGAGGACGAATTTTCGAATTTGTCGCTGTTAGAGCAATATTTGTACAGAACCGCGGATCAATTAAATTATTATCGAAAGGTAAAATGTAACACAAAAATTTTATTAACAAAAATTAATATTTATTTAATTTAGAACAACTTTTATTCGAAACAATTTTCGATTCGAACGATTTTTTATGTTTAATATACAGGGTGGTGCAAAAATAAATTTTTTTTTTAGTTAATAAACGAGCCAAGCCGAGAAAAATTATTACCCGACGAATTAAAATATCCGTATCACCAACCGCCTTACACGTTAGTGTTGGAATTAAAAGACGTCCTCGTGCACCCCGATTGGACCTACAATACAGGGTGGCGATTCAAAAAACGACCGGGGATCGATCATTTCTTAGAAACATTAAATGGGATTTACGAAATAGTTATTTACACAGCCGAATTGGGAATGACGGTGTTTCCGATTTTGGAGGCCCTCGATCCCAACAACTTGATCACGTATAAGCTGGTTAGGGACGCGACGAATTTCGTCGATGGAAAACATGTTAAAGATTTGGATAAATTAAATAGGTCACTTCGAAAAGTGATTAATTCGGGTATCAAATTTTCGTAAATTTTTTTTAAATTTTAATTTTAAGGTTGTTTTGGTCGATTGGGACGAAGCGGCGATAACAGAAAATAGGGATAACGCCTTGTTAATACCGAGGTGGAACGGCGATGATGATGATACGGCTTTGTTGGATTTAGCGAATTTATTAAGAGGTAAAAACGATTTTTCTTAACATAACCTAAAAATGTAAGAGTGCGTGGCGCCCCCTAGCGGGAATTTCAAAAAAAATTTCGGATAAAAGTTGTTTCTTATTTGATTTTGAACAGTTATTGTTTGAAACATTTTTTGATTCGGGCAATAGTTATTGACATAACCTCAAAAAATTCTTGTTATATCAGCGTACAGCGCCACCTAGCAATAATTTAAAAAAAAGTCATTAAAATAAAGTTTTCAAATCGCAATTTTAAGTAATTATTGTTTGAAACATTTTTTGATTCGGGCAATAATTATTAACATAACCTCAAAAAATGTGGTTATACCAGCGTACAGCGCCCCCTATTATAGATATATAAAAAACTTATTAAGAAAAATGTTTCTAAATGTAATTGCAAACATTTATTATTTGAAAATGTTTTTGATTCGAGCAATAATTATTGACATAACCTCAAAAAACTTCATTATAGCAGGGTACAGCGCCCCCTATCAAAGATATATAAAAAACTTATTAAGATAAATGTTTCTAAATGCAATTTCAAACATTTGTTGTTAGAAAAATTTTTTGATTCGAGCAATAATTATTGACATAACCTCAAAAATCAAATTTGTTATATCAGCGTACAGCGCCACCTAATAATTATTTAAAAAAAATGTATTAAAATAAAAGTTTCTAATCGTAATTCTAAGAAATTATTATTCGAAATTTTTTTTGATTCGGATAATATTTATTGACATAACCTCAAAAATTAAATTTGTTATACCAGTATACAGCGCCACCTATCAATTATTTTCAAAAAATGTATTAAAATAAAAGTTTCTAATCGTAATTGTAAACAATTATTATTAGAAAATTTTTTTGATTCGGATAATAATTATTGACATAACCTCAAAAATATATTTTTTTATACCAGTGTACAGCGCCACCTATCAATTATTTTCAAAAAATGTATTAAAATAAAACTTTCTAATCCTCATTCTAAACAATTATTATTAGAAAAATTTTTTGATTCAGGGAATAATTATTGACATAACCTCAAAAATATCATTTTTTATAACAGCGTACAGCGCCACCTTTAATTATTTTCAAAAAATTTATTAAAATAAATATTTTTAAACGTAATTCTAAACACGTTTTATTTAAAAAATTTTTTGATATAGCCTCAATTTTTTACATCAATATACAATGTGGCGCAAAAATTTTCGTACAAGATAAATTAAAATAATGCTTTTTTTTTTGCAGTTATAGCCATTTCTGAGATACAAGACGTAAGAGAAGTGTTACGATTTTACAAAGAATACCCAAACCCTTTGGCAGCGTTCCGAGATAGACAAAGGGAATTGGAACGAACGATGTATAATAAAAATAATTAATTCAAAAAAATCTTAATAATAGGAAAAGGAGAATCATTCATTTCTTTTTCTATGTCACTGTCAAAAAAAACATTGAATCATTACCAAAATCGATAAATTTGTGTTTTGAAGTAAGTGTTAAGATTAAGAAAGATGAAAAAAACTCGCCGTTTTTTTACTCAACATTCTTTTTTGTCGTTCTTAATAAAATATTAATTTTTTTTAGATAACATAAAAATTGTTTTGTTTTAATGAAACGTACAACCCGGACTTGACGATTATTTTGACGTCTGAAATGTAAATTTTTTTGTTTCGAGTGTTGTAAAATTATTAAATTGAGCAATTAAGCCGGGAAAGCCGAGATATGGAAAAAGTGAGTACGTAAATGGAAATTCCGATATTAATAACAATTAAAGGAATAATTAGCGCTCGTTGGATGTCGGTTATTAAAGGTGGATGAGAAGAAGGATCGATGAACGAGTTTACGGGAATTTATTTCCGCGAAAACCACTTGATGGAGTTTCTAACCCTTAAAAGACGATTAAAAAAAATTTATGGGAAAAGAAATTTAATTAAAAGATAACAAATTGTTTTTTTGGGAAATAATAAAAATTAAATTAAAATATATATTAAAATGAATAAAAAAAATATATAAAATTGACTCACCCTTAAAAAAATCAAAATTCTTTCTTCCTCGACATTCGGTTGTTTCGTGCCTCATTTCTTCATTTCCGAAATTTGTGGGGTTTTAAAAAATGTTGATAATCACCTGTAAAAACGAAAAACCTGTGACCTGTTGGAAGTCAGCTGAGTGAGGAGAATTCGGGGGGGTAGGTTCTTGTTGCCGTTGGCCTAGTTCTCGCATTTGCCCGCACTAATATCGGACTGGGGCATTTCATTTTGGCGCATGCTCCCCTCTGAAAACGGGGGGTTGCAAGCAACAGGCCGGATCAATATGAACAACTACTAAATACGACGAGGAAAGACCGAATGCGATTTTCTTTCTCTTTTCGCACTATACGATTTTGAATAAGGGAAGGGGTGAATCGAATAAACTTGTGGTGGGGGCTAAAACCAACGTGAACCCGATTTTGTCGGCCCCACGACTCCGAAACGGTCGGAGTCCGAATCGGCACTGAAAATCTTCTTACGGGGTGTCGTCAATATATAGATAGGGTGGGCGGAGCTACATCCCTCCATGTGCTAGTAAAATCGGGGGGATGAATAATATTTGAGGAAATGGAGGGGGTGATGGTTAAAAAATAATGATTTATTTAAGAATTTTGGTGTTTTAGCATTTTAAAAATGAAATATATCGTAATGTTTTTTTTTATTAAAAAGAATCGGAAAAAAAAATGATTTTAAAGGATAATTATTCAAAAAAAAATTTGATTCGGGTAATAATTATTGACTTAACCTCAAAAATTAATTTCTTATATCAGCGTATTGCGCCATCTGACGATTATTAAAAAAAATTACTAAAATAAAATCTTCTAATCGCTATTTTAAGCAATTATTGTTTGAAAAATTTCTTGATTCGGGTAATAATTATTGACATAACCTCAAAAAACTTTTTTATATCATTGTACAGCGCCACCTAGTAACAATTATAAAAAAATTTATTAAAATAAAATTTTCTAATGATAATTTTAAGCAATTATTATTTGAAAAATTTTTTGATTCGGGTAATAATTATTGACTTAACCTCAAAAATTAATTCTTGATATCAGCGTACAGCGCCACCTATTAATTATTTTCAAAAAGTTTATTAAAATAAAATTTTCTAATCGCTATTCTAAGTAATTATTGTTTGAAGAATTTTTTGATTCGGGCAATAATTATTGACATAACCTCAAAAAACTTTTTTATATCATTGTACAGCGCCACCTAGTAACAATTATAAAAAAATTTATTAAAATAAAATTTTCTAATGATAATTTTAAGCAATTATTGTTTGAAAAATTTTTTGATTCGGGTAATAATTATTGACTTAACCTCAAAAATTAATTCTTGATATCAGCGTACAGCGCCACCTATTAATTATTTTCAAAAAGTTTATTAAAATAAAATTTTCTAATCGCTATTCTAAGTAATTATTGTTTAAAGAATTTTTTGATTCGGGCAATAATTAATGACATAACCTCAAAAAACTTTTTTATATAATTGTACAGCGCCACCTATCAAAAATTATAAAAAAGTTTATTAAAATAAAACTTTCTAATCCTAATTCTAAGTAATTATTGTTTAAAGAATTTTTTGCTTCGGACAATAATTGTTGACATAACTTCAAAAAACTTTTTTACATCAGTGTACAGCGCCAACTGACGATAATTAAAAAAAAATTATTAAAATAAAAGTTTATAATCGTAATTTTAAACAATTATTATTAAAAAATTTTTTTAATTCGGGTAATAATTATCGGCATAACCTCAAAAATTTAAATGTATACCATCATACAGCGCCATCTAGCAATAAGTTTAAAAAAATTGATTAAAATAAAAGTTTCCAATCGCAATTTTAAACAATTATTATTCGAAAAAAATTTTGATTCGAGTAATAATTATTAATATAACCTCAAAAATTAAATTTTACACCATCATACAGCGCCATCTAGCAATAAGTTTAAAAAAATTTATTAAAATAAAAGTTTTTAATGGTAATTTCAAACAATTATTATTAGTAAAATTTTTTGATTCGGATAATAAGTATTGACATAACCTCAAAAATTAAATTTGTTATACCAGTATACAGCGCCACTTAACAATAATTTAAAAAAAATGTATTAAAATAAAACTTTCTAATCCTAATTCTAAATAATTATTGTTTAAAAAATTTTTTGATTCGGGATATATTTATTGACATAACCTCAAAAATTAATTTTGTATACCACCGTACAGCGCCACCCGACGATAATTAAAAAAAAATACATTTAAATAAAATTTTCTAATCGTAATTCTAAGTAATTATTGTATAAAAAATTTTTTGATTCGGGTAATAATTATTGACATAACCTCAAAAAACTTATTCATATCAATCTACAGCGCCACCTATTAATAATTATAAAAAAATTTATTAAAATAAAATTTTTTAATCGTAATTATAAATAATTATTGTTTAAAAATTTTTTTGATTCGGGTAAGAATGATTGACATAACCTCAATTTTTTGTATTACCATACCAGTATACAGCTCCAACTATCAAAAATTTTTTAAAAATGTATTAAAATAAAAATTTCTAATCCTAATTCTAAGTAATTATTGTTTAAAAAATTTTTTGATTGGTGTAATAATTAGTGACATAACCTCAAAAATATAACTTTAAATCCGCGTACAGCGCCACCTATTAAATATTATCAAAAAATTTATTAAAATAAAAATTTTTAATCGCAATTTTAAGCAATTATTATACGAAAATTTTTTTAATATCCACACTTTTTAATTTTAATATACAGGGTGATACAAAATTATTTAAATCGAAAAAAGTTTTATATTCAATTTAAAGCCATTGTTAGTTGTTACAAAACACCATTTAACCCAAATTCGATTAATTAATTGGCTTACTTCACTTAATCAATATAATTTAATTAAGTTTTCTCGCGCCAGGTTCGTCCCGGCACTTTGCAAACAAATTAGAGTCCCGTATTTTATAGTTTTTTTGCCCCAACCCTCCCGCCTCAGTACGTTTGTTAGTCCGCGTTACAACCCAACCCCAAAACCCCATAAAAATTGATCGACGACCACGATCAAAACAGCCTTGAAACAGGTAATTTTGTGTCTCTCGCAAATATGTACTCTCCATTCTATTTCTAATATACGCGTACCCTCGTTTTCGCCCGCAATAAGGGGGTGCCAATTTTATGGGACTTTTATCCGATCAATTCGATTTAAGTGAATTAAAAGCAATAAAATTAAAAAAAACGAATTTTTTAAACGTATCAGAATTGATTGCATCCGCGACCTTTTAGTACAACATAATGTCAACGTTACGGATACTTGGGCCGACTACCGTCCTGTGAAATACCAGGTCAAAACGGCATATAAACCATCCGGGAAATTAATCATCGAGGAAACAAAGAAAAAAGAATAAAAGACAAAATAAAAAAGGGGTTGGTTCATTGACTTACATAATTCCCTTAAGACTTCCCTTTTATTTTAATACCGCCTACTTCTCTTTACATTTTTTTTAATCCCCTCTTAATTTCAATTAAACAAGATTAAAAAAAACTATCAATAATCTTTTAATTAATAATAAAAGAGATTGTAAGTTTAAAGCGGTTCTTTTTTATTTGTGGAAATTGAAAACTGAAAATCCTGAAAAAAAAACAGCTTTTCCTTTTACGTTCTCCTCGTATATACGCTGTTGATTTAATCATTAGAGCGGTGTTTGCTGTGTATTAATGCCGGATCGGCGCCTCGTAGTCGGGACGCCGACGACGCCAGCGACGCGAACGGCGCCGGTCAGAAGTACGGGAGGCGTCGGGACGCCTTCCCCGGCTCTTCGCCGAACGGACGAGAATTTCCAGTGTACAGAATTTCATAATATAAAAGAGGAACCCCTACTAGCGCGTTGCAATGTGGGCCACAACAAAGTTATGCGTTATTAAAATCAAGGACACAAAAAGATGACACCCACAATGATTAATATAAACAATTTAAATCGATTCGTATTCGTAATCTTCATAAAAAATCCTTCAAAATGAGCACAAACACGACCTATCTAAGTGTTATAGTTCTCGAGATATTTAAATTTAAAGTTTTTTTGGAAAATCCAAGATGGCCGAAAATAAATTTTTTTTACAGTGTATGGTAGATAATTAAAAGACGTTTAAAATGAGTCCAAACTCGATATATCTAAGTGTTATAAAACCTAAGATATCTTAATTTTTATTAATTCAAGATGGCCGAAAACAAAACACTAATAAATAACGATAAAAGGGGATTTTAAGATAAATATAGAGTGTGGCATATTAAATTAGGTTAAAATTTTCTGACTTTTACGAAAAACTTACTTATTTTAGCGAAATAAAAAATATAGATTTTTTTTTATGAAAAAAAAAATTTTTGAATTTATCTTTTTAAGTATTTTAAGGATAAATTTAAAATCTCCTTGGCATTTCCTTAAAAATGAGTACAAACTCGACCCATCTAAGTATTATAGTTCCCGAGATATTTATATTTAAAGTTTTTGGAAAATTCAAAATGGCCGACAATAATTTTTTTTTAATTTGTGATTAATTATTAAAAAATGTTTAAAATGAGTCCTAACACGACATATCTAATTGTTATAAAACCTAAGATATCTTAGTTTTTATTAATTCAAGATGGCCGAAAACAAAACACTAATAAATAACGATAAAAGAGGATTTTAAGATAAATATAGAGTGTGGCATATTAAATTAGGTTAAAATTTTCTGACTTTTACGAAAAACTTACTTATTTTAGCGAAATACAAAATTTTTATTCTTTTTTTATAAAAAAAATTTTTTTAATTTATCTTTTTAAGTGATTTAAGGATAAATTTAAAATCTCCTTGGTATTTCCTTGAAAATGAGTACAAACTCGACCTATCTAAGTATTATAGTTCCCGAGATATTTATATTTAAAGTTTTTGGAAAATTCAAAATGGCCGACAATAATTTTTTTTTAATTTGTGATTAATTATTAAAAAATGTTTAAAATGAGTCCTAACACGACATATCTAATTGTTATAAAACCTAAGATATCTTAGTTTTTATTAATTCAAGATGGCCGAAAACAAAACACTAATAAATAAGGATAAACCGGGATTTAAAGAAAAATATAGAGTGTGGCATATTAAATTAGGTTAAAATTTCCTGATTTTTACGAAAATCTTATTTATTTTGGCGAAATGAAAAATTTTATTTGTTTAAACCAAATTTTAAATGATTTAAAGATAAATTTAAAATCTCCTTGGCATTTCCTTGAAAATGAGTACAAACTCGACCTATCTAAGTATTATAGTTCTCGAGATATTTATGTTTAAACTTTTTGGAAAAATCAAAATGGCCGCAAACAAAACACTAATAAATAAGGATAAAACGGAAGTTTAAGATAAATATAGAGTGTGGCATATTAAATTAGGTTAAAATTTCCTGATCTTTACGAAAATCTTATTCTTTTCGGCGTATTTTGAAATTTATTGATACTTTTGTAATGAAGAAAAATTGAAACTATAAACGATAACTTAATAAGATTCTTAAAACATCATTTAAAACCAACATAATATTATTATCTAAAGAAATAACCGCGATATTGTTTCTAAATGTCAACTTTAATCATCAATTTTCTTAATTTACATAAAAACCGTTCAAAATGAATTCAAATACGACCAATTTAGCTTTTCTTAGAATTTTAATTTAATAACTGCGTGGGAAAATCGTTTTTCCAATAACTCTAAAGCAGCTTGTTCAAAATAAATATGTTGGTAACAATGCGTAAAGTACCAGCGCCATCTTTCGTCATTATGATTGATTTTTTAATTGACAGCTTTAAAATTAAATTATTATAAAAATGATATTTTTCTGCTTAAAAGATCACACGGATATATTGCGTTAATAAAAATGAAGAAAGGGACAAAAACTGTTATTTATTGGCAAATAAAATCCCTGGGGAGGTGAACTAACAAGCTAAAAAACCTAAAGAGGGCGTTTCTTGTGTCCCATCGCAACGTTCCTATATTTCACATTACACGAGAAATGAGAATAGAAAGAAAAAAATAACTCCAACAGGTCTATTAGGTCAAGTAAAAAAAAAACAAGATGATTTATAACGAATTCAAACAAAATTTTTTAATTTTTGAGGTTAGAAATTTGAAATGTCATTTTGACGTTTCAAAAATGTATTTACGACGAGATAAAATCCGCGCCGCGGATGTTTATGTTTATTTACATTTTACATTGACGGGTACCGATTTGAAAAATATTCCTGTAAAAGGAAAGTTGTACAAGAGTAGGTTCTACTACTATTTAGAGTACACCCGAGATATCGTGGGAACCACACCATTCACTCCCATGTGAGCTCACTCTACTCTCCTTTTGAACCGACTTTGAAAAATAAAAAAAATATTTTTTCCACCTCTCTCTCTTTCATTTCAAAACTAAATAGGAGAAGAAGAGAAGTCCTCGCCAAGTCGCGTGTACCACATAGATTAAGTACCAAAGAGGTGGAGAAGATGTGGGTGTGGAGATTTCGCAATTTCAAATCGATCTTCAAACGATTTCTTTTGATTTAATACAACTTTTCGTTCAATCTTTTTTAAGGTAGGGCCCCTTTTTTAGTTTTATGCCGGAGTTGTTCGCATCAACCACGAAGTGCGCCCTAATTACGTAATCTTAAGGGCGTGGGGCCCCGGTGGCGTGTCGCGCACCCCGGGGAACTCCATTAACTTAATAGAATCGTGTGCCGTAATCAGAAATAGCTGAAACCAAGCCCAGAGACTTGGTGGCCGTTCGATATTTCAAGCTGTCGCTTTTATTAGAGAGAAAGAAAAAAAATCCCAGGGATAAATAAAAAAAGGATATGCCATTGAAGGGTGAACGACAATCCGGACGTGAACCAAGCCCTTTTCCATCATAAATCACCCCAAGCTTAAAAAAATCGTTTCGAAAAAGATTTTGAGGTTATGTTTCTAATTTTAAGTCGATTCTTAGAAATTAGGTCACCGGGACCATCGGAACACATCAAACAACGACCGGATTTTAACCGGAACACGTGGATTCATGATTCACTCCGTAATTGCGAAATTAATTCCACAAAATTAAATTAATTTTGAATTAAAATGACATTTCAACAAAAATTACTTGTCAACAAAAACAAAGAAGACTTGGATTATTAAGTTTGTAAAAAGAATTTTTTGGTGACTTACCGCATCGAAAAACACTCACAAAACCACACTAGTTACACTTCAAAACGAGTCTATGCGAAAAAAGCGTAGGAAGTTTATTCAATACGCGAATAAATTTGCATATATTTGTAAACAATTACGCCATACTGTTCTAACAAGTTTGAACTGAAGTACGCGTGCGCAACTTCAGTTCAAACTTTGAATTAAAATCGATTAATTTTAATTCATCAACAAAATAATTAGGTGAACCGAATTAACCCAATTAGTATTTTAAAATTAATTTAGTTTATAAATTAACAATACATTTCAAAAATAAAAAAGAAATTAAAGAATTAGAACCGCGCATGCGCATAACAAATTCGAATTTAAACAATTCTCACTTAATTCATTTTTATTTATAAACGAAACGATTTAAATCGATTAAAACAATCAATTTTTGATCTAATTATTGAATAAAATCATTTTAAATCTATTTATTTAATAAAATAATTTTAATAAAGTCGGACCCCCCACTAGATGTCGCAACCGATTTGACGTATCACCATTTCTCTCTTTCTTACTAACCTCATCGATAGTAAACACGTTTCGTGTCCAAACGACTTAAAAAAGTAAGTAATTTTGAGTTTTAATCAAAAATATCTTCAAAAACCCACTTATTAATCATTAATTTGAACTAAGAATTAATTTTGATTCAACGATTTTTAAAATTAACCCAGATATTTGTTGATTTCTTATTTTGAGGTTATGTACACAAAAATTTTTAATTATACTCTTAATTCTTTTAACTTATTTAATTAAATACGAACAAATTCAAATTTATTGTTGTTTTGGGCGATTTAATACAGATTATTTTATAAAAATTGTTTTATAAATTTAATAAAATTTTATTTTGAGGTTATGTCGTTTATTAATTAATTGATTTTTAATTCTTTATTTTAGTGCGTTACGTGGCTGCTTATCTTTTAGCCGTCCTTGGGGGAAACGCCGCCCCCAAAGCGGCCGATCTTGAAAAGATTTTAAGTTCCGTTGGGATTGAAGCTGATGGTGATCGTGTTAAGAAAATCATTGGGGATTTAAATGGAAAATCGATTGAGCAATTAATCACCGAAGGTAAATGATTAATTTTAACACAAAACGTTGTTATTATCATGATGATTTTCAACTTAACCATCTTTCGTATGAATTTTATGATTAATTATTTAATCTGATTTTGTTTCGATTTAAATTTGCTTAATCCTGTGGGAACGTTTTAATTAATTAATCGTTTTTAGGTAGAGAAAAACTTTGCTCTATGCCTGTTGGGGGAGGAGCAGCCGCCCCAGTTGCAGCTGCCGCAGGAGCCCCCGCTGCTGCTGAAGAAAAGAAAGGTAACTTGAAAATATTAAAAAATTCGAAAATTGGGGTTATTATGATGTTATTTAAACACCATCTTTCGAATGAAATTAATGATTATCTTTTTAATCAAACTGATTATGTTTTAATTAATAATTTTATGATATGATTTAGATTATTTTGTAACAATTTTTTTTATTTTTAGAAGAGAAAAAGGAGGAGAAGAAAGCTGAGTCGGAATCTGATGACGATGACATGGGCTTCGGTCTTTTCGATTAAAATGTTAATAAATTGACTTATTTTTAAGAATTTTTTAATAAATAAGTTTAAAATAAAATGACTTTTGACGTGTATGCAACCCAATTTGCACCACATTTTTTTTTTATTGATTTAATTTTGTATTTTATAAATAATTTAATTAATAACAAATACATTATTTTTATCAATTTTATTTGTTATCGTTAAAAAAGGAGTTAATTAATTCGGGGAGATACCGAATTCCTTGTCAATAATCGGGTGATGTCAAAAAAATTTTTATTTTTAAGGTTGGTACCACTTCGTAAACTAGTACCGTGAAGAATATTAAAAAATACGGTTTTATTTAAGTTTTAATTTAAGTCGAATTGATTGTAAAGTAAATTTTGGTGGGAATTTGTTGTGATTCCGTTTAAATAATTAATTTAAATTGATTTTATTTATCGGCGTAGGAATAAGTGGACAAGTCATAGCCCCTGAGAAGGTCGCCATTTTAACGTTGTCTGTCACCGTCGTTAAACATCATTTCGAGAGTTGTTCCCGAAAAACACGAATTAAAGCGGTTTAATTACTTTTCGGCTGTCGTTGCTAATTAACATTAGCAAAATGACGCAGCAATTACTACCGATACGTTTTCAGGAACACCTGCAGGTAAGATTTGAGGATAAATTTACGCCCCCCATTTTTTTAACCCCATTTCATGGCCCACAACTGCTCCACTTTCGATATTTCTTTATTAAATAAAGTTATTTCGGATTTATTTATCGTAAATTTCGCTTAAATGTTAAAATAACAACCGGTGTTAATGTTAATTTGACAGTTTGTTTTCTTGGAAATGTGTGGGCGGATGAAATCCGAGTTCTAAAAATAGTTCACCCCCTTTCTCGTTTTTTTTTTCTACAGAATCGAAAATCAATCGATTTTAAATGAAAATTGTCCCACTTTTTTGTTCTCATTTATAAATATCGAAAGAAAAAATTATTTTTATGAAATTGACGTTTCTAAAAATTTGACGTTTCTAAAAAAATTGACGTTTTAACATAACCTTAATATTTTTAGTTAACTGCAATTGGAATAAATGATACAAACATCTCTTTCGCGACTCTCACGATGGAGAGCGACAAATTTATTTGCGTTCGGGAGAAGGTTGGGGATACATCGCAAGTTGTTATCATCGATATGGCCGATCAAACGAATCCAATTCGAAGACCGATTACGGCGGAGAGCGCGATTATGAATCCTGCGTCGAAAGTGATCGCTTTGAAAGGAAAAGCTGGGGTGGAAGGTTCGTTTTTTGCTTTTTTTTGAATTTGTATTGCAATAAATGTAATAATATAACCAAGACATTCATTATTTTTTTTGAAATTTTACATAATTTTATTAATCATGGGTGAGGTTACAAATAATAATCATAGAAATTTGTTTTTGTATTAATAAAATGTTGCTGTTTACGTTATTTATTATATTTAATCCATGTAAAGTCAATACGAAGTAATTTTTTAAAATTTTGGCAGTGACATAACCTCAAATTTCATTTTTCATTAATTTCTTATTGTAATTCATGTTCGTCTGGTTAAAACTATTAAAAACGATAATCTTAGCATGTCAAGAACTAAAACCATCCGTTATATGAGAGTTTTGATGAAGAAATAGAATTTTGACAGTGACATAACCTCAAATTTAATTTTTTATTAATTTCTTGTTGTAATCCTCGTTTGTCCGGTTGAAACTATTAAATCTGATAATCTTAGCATGTTAAGAACTAAAACCATCCATCATATGCGAGTTTTGATGAAAAATTTGATGAAAATCTGTAAATTATATATTTGAATATTTTTGAAGCGGGACGTTGAAATCTAAAAGAAAATGTTCCGAAATCAGCACAAACAAGGTTAAAGCAATAAAACTATAACATTTCATGCATAAATATTGTTAAAATAAAAATTTTAATAATTTTTGATTAAATTTAATTAGTGACATTTGACATTTCGAAGTTGGTAATACCGGAGAAATTTAAATTACGAAATTCAAGTTGGAGAATTTGACCAATCAGAAGACGTTATTTAAAAAGGTCTTGCAATAAACAAACGAAATTAGTAGATTTTAGTGTCATTTTGAACGTGACGCGGAGCACACGCTAATTTTTGTCCTAAAGTTAGGTTACTTGTCAATCACCATTGGGATATAACCTCAAAAATATTAAATTTATTATTTTAATAAGTTAAATAAGAAGATTATTCGAATTAAAATTAATCACCTTTAATAATAAGAAAATTAACTGGTTCCTGATCCAATTAATTCGGTATTTATTAGTATTTTATTTTGTTTGGTTATGTTCTTGCAATATCATTACCTTTAATTTGATTAATTAATTTACAAGCCAGCACAGTATCTAATTAATTTATTATTTTAATAGCTCAAAAAACCCTTCAAATATTCAACATTGAAATGAAATCGAAAATGAAAGCCCACGTAATGAACGAAGACGTGGTTTTTTGGAAATGGATTTCGTTAAATACTTTAGCCCTTGTTACTGAGAACACGGTTTATCATTGGTCGATGGAGGGCGATTCGCAGCCGGTTAAAATGTTCGATCGACACTCTTCATTGAATAGTTGCCAAATTATAAATTATCGTACGGATCCGAAACAAAATTGGTTGCTTTTAGTGGGAATTGGGAGTCAACAAAATCGAGTTGTTGGGGCGATGCAGCTTTATTCCGTCGAACGGAAGTGTTCGCAACCCATCGAAGGTCACGCGGCGTCTTTCGCAACGTTTAAAATGGACGGAAATCCGGAACCTTCAACGTTATTCTGTTTCGCCGTTCGTACAACAACAGGGGGAAAATTGCATATAATCGAAGTGGGGCAAAGCCCCACAGGAAATCAACCGTTCCCGAAAAAAACCGTCGATGTTTTTTTCCCACCAGAAGCCCAAAACGATTTTCCCGTCGCGATGCAAGTCTCATCGAAATACGACGTGATTTATTTAATCACTAAATATGGTTATATTCACCTCTATGATATCGAAACGGGAACTTGTATTTATATGAATCGGATTTCGAGCGAAACGATTTTTGTAACTGCACCTCATGATAGTACTGGGGGGATTATTGGGGTGAATCGAAGGGGTCAAGTTCTTTCTGTATCTGTTGATGAAGACAATATCATTCGTTACATTAATACGGCGTTGCATAATCCCGATTTAGCGTTAAGATTAGCCGTTCGTAATAATTTGGCGGGAGCTGAGGAGTTATTTGTAAATAAATTTCAAATGTTGTTTCAAAACGCGCAATATGCGGAGGCTGCTAAAGTTGCCGCGAACGCTCCAAAGGGGATTTTGAGGACGCCTCAAACGATTCAGATGTTTCAACAAGTTCCGACTCCTCCGGGACAAAATAGCGCGCTTTTACAGTATTTTGGGATTTTGTTGGATCAAGGACAATTAAATCGGTAAATATAATTTTAAAGTTTATTAATAAAAAATATCGTTTTGGTTTTTTTTTTTTAAGATATGAATCCTTGGAGCTTTGCAAACCGGTTTTAATGCAAGGGAGAAAACAGTTGTTGGAGAAGTGGTTGAAAGAGGAGAAATTGGAGTGTTCAGAGGAACTTGGTGATTTGGTCAAACAAACCGATCCCACTCTCGCGCTTTCCGTCTATTTGAGAGCCAATGTTCCAGCTAAGGTGAAATTTATTTAATAGAGAATTTATTTTTGTGCAAACGGATTAAAAATGAGTTTCTTGGAAAGTCAAAAAAAATGTTTGAAGTGAAATTGGAATTTTTTGATCTGTCAAATTGAAATGTCAGATTAATATAACCTAAAAATGTATTCAGGAGGTTTGAAGTGAAGTTGGAGTTTTTCAATTTGTCAAATTGAAATGTCAGATTAATATAACCTAGAAATGTATCTGAATGACTTTTCCAAACTTCAGGGGTGATTTTTTAGCGAATTTTAAGAGTATTTTCTTATATGAACTATAAGCGACTTTAAAATTTTGAAACGTCAATTAAACGAGCGTAAATGCGATAGGATTTTATTAAAAAAATTTTAAATAAAGCAGTAATAATAATAATAGTAAAAAAAACACTGACATTTAAATGTCAAAAATATTTCTGAAGAAAAGTCGAGTTTATAAAAAAGTTTATAGGGATGATTTGCGGTAAACAATCCTTAGGGTTTACTTAATGAAGATGAAAAAATAAAGAAAAATGATTTTGACTTTATTTTAAAGTGTTTTGAATAAGATAGGAAATAGAAAACTTTCATTGATGTAGGTCAAAATGGCTCAAATGAATTAAAAACACTTCTAGATTGCTTAATGAAGACGTAAGAAGTTAGAAAAATTAATGGCAGTGATTTGCAGAAAATTCAAAAATTTTCTAATGTGGGAAAATATCATTGGTGTTAATGCAAATTGTTTTAATCAATTCAAAACATCGTTAAGATACTTAATTATTATGAAAAAATTAACTAAAATGATTTTGACTTTGTTTTAAAGTGTTTTGAATACCATAGGAAATAGAAAACTGTAATTGATGCAGGTCGAAATGGCTCAAATTGATTAAAAACACTTCTAGATTACTTAATAAAGACTATTTAAAGAATATTTTTAGATCAATTAAAATGTACAAGAATTTAGGGTTAAATAACAATTAAAACTAGACCTAGAACTAGAAACAGTCGGGTTTAGTCGTGAAAAAAACTTTCAGTTGTCAATGTCAACTTTAATTTTATTATTCTAAAATAATCTTCATAAAATAACCTTTAAAGTGAGTCCAAACTTGACGCATTTATCTCAAAAAACCAAAAAGTTCGAACTTTCAACTTTTAATTTTGACATATTTGTCAACTTCATAAAAAATCCTTTAAAATGAGTCCAAACTCGACATATTTAACTTTAATATTAATGGAAATACAATCACTTCCGGTTTGAAACGTCAACGTTAATTTTGACATATTCGTCATTTTCATTAAAAAACCTTTAAAATGAGTCCAAAGATGGCGCACTTATCTCAAAAAACAAGAAAGTTAGAATAAAAAATATTAAACCTGAAGTTAGCAACAATGAATATCATAAGAAGAAAAATGACCGAACAGATATTAACAG